AAAATGTTTATACTATAAAAAACTGTTTTTCCTATCTATATTACGCTTTCTGTTTTGATGTTTTAGAAGATTTTTTTTGTTTAGAATTATTTGATATTCTCACTTTTTAATGTAAAATTTATTAAATTTTTATTGTTTTTGATCTTTTATATTCTGCAGATTATTTTTTTATTTGCTGAATTATATTTAAATAAATTATAAACAATGTTTTTAGTGTAAAAAAAATAAAAATTAAATGAATTTTTAATCTATATACAAAAACTTTAAACATCAAATATTTTTGAATAGAAAGAGTATTATTTTATTACAGCCTAATTTAATTCTATAGGGAGTATAATTAAGTGGCTGATAGGTCATTTGACTCCTTGTCAGTATTTTGTTTTAATAATGTCACGAATTTTCTCTTGTCGTACCAATTAACGATTCGAGTAAAATTTTTTGTCAAGAATTAAATGCTGTTTTATTGTATGTCGTGTTCCATGTACGTTGCCGACCTAAACAAATGGTTTACTGGTTGGTCAAACAAAACTATGATTTATTTATGGGATACACACGATTCCATATTTTATACTCCAATGAAAAATACATACGTTGATACTCGAGACTCATAAATATTTTGCAGAAGGCATTAATTATGAGTCGGAATGGGTAAATCAATATTTAAACAAATTGGTTTTAAAAAATATCCAGTAATTATAAGATTTTTTATTGGATTAGATTTCTCTTTTTATTTTTAGGAATAGAATATCGAATGGACAGAAAAATGGATTCTATCCGTTACTTACACATTTCCAGTATTTGACTTTACTGAAACCTTTCGCTGGATAAAAAAACTTTCTTAGAGAGAGAAAAACAAAAAAAAATCTGACAACGAAGAAGAAAAAAAATTAAAAGTGTGAGAAAATTCTTAGCCTTCTTTTTCTCTCTTACGCGTTCTCCTTCTTCTTCTTCTTTCTTTCCCAGAAAGTACCATTAATCTCTTTTTCGCTTTCTTCTTTCTTCTCTGACTTTTTTTTTGTTCTTCTTCGTTTTCAATTAGATTCTGTTCTTCGTATATACATCAATCTTTTGTGGATTTTTATCTTTCGATCTGGATTAAAGGGACGGATTCGGAATCCACGAGAAAATCCCGCCGGATTCTATGGCTACCGCGGCGATATTCTCATCTCTGCGGCGGAGGAGATCGCCGTCACTAGAGGCTTTCTTGGCTCCCGTTGACCTCTCCGGCGTCGCTCTTGTTCAAACCCTAGCTTCAATCTCGACGGAGATCGTCTCTTGTTTCAGCGGCGTACGATTCTCGTTCCAACGCCGGAACGCTCGTTCCCTGATTCGTAAGATCGAGATATTCGTCGTGTTGTTCGAGTTCCTCTCCGAATCAGGCTGGGGCTCAAGAAGAACCTCCGTCTCCTCCTCCTCCTCGTCGTCGTCGACGGCGTTGCTGTGTCTCAAGGAGCTTTATCTTCTCCTCTACAGGTCCAAGATCCTCGTCGATTACTGCGCTCAATCCAGTAAGTTATGGCTATTGCTTCAAAACCCGTCGATTTCTGGCTATTTCCATGATTTGAATCAAGAGATTTCGACTCTTTTGGATATTTTCCCTGTCAACGACCTCGGTCTTAGCGACGACATTAGAGAGCAAATCGAGCTGTTGCAGAGACAATCCAGGAAATCGAGGTTGTACATCGATAACAACGACGAGACGCTACGCGAAACATTCTACACGCTTCTCGACGGATTCGAGAACGGGAAGATACCGAATCAGGTCGCTCTTAGATCCTTCTTCTTAGAGAAATTACGAATCAGGGATTCGAAGAGTTTCAGAACCGAAATCGAGTTTCTGGAAGAGCAGATTGTGAATCACGATGGCGATTTAGAGCCCACGGGTTCGGTGATCAACGGGTTCGTGGCGATCACACGTTACTGTAGATTCTTGTTGTTCGGATTCGAAGAAGACGGATTAGAGTGGAGAATCGAGAATCCGAAGAAACCAAGAAAAGGCTTCGTCGCGCAGGAGATTGGCGACACATTCATAACAGTTCCAAAGGATTTCGTTTGTCCGATTTCTCTAGATTTGATGACGGATCCTGTGATTATCTCCACAGGGCAGACTTATGATCGGAGCTCCATAGCGAGGTGGATCGAAGAAGGTCACTGTACTTGTCCCAAAACGGGTCAAATGCTCATGGACTCTCGGATCGTTCCCAATCGAGCTCTCAAGAATTTGATAGTGCAATGGTGCACAGCGAGTGGCATATCTTACGAGTCAGAGTTCACAGATTCCCCAAACGAAGCTTTCGCGTCGGCTCTTCCGACAAAAGCTGCCGTCGAAGCAAACAAAGCCACTGTCTTTATCCTTATCCAGTATCTAGCGGATGGCTCTGAAGCAGCTCAAACAGTGGCGGCGCGTGAAATCCGTCTTTTGGCCAAAACCGGAAGAGAAAACCGCGCGTTCATCGCGGAAGCAGGCGCGATACCGCACTTGCGCCGCCTCCTCAGATCCCAAAACGCGATCGCGCAAGAGAACTCTGTGACCGCGATGCTTAATCTCTCCATATACGAGAAGAACAAGAGCCGGATCATGGAGGAAGACGATTGTTTGGAGTGTATAGTAAGCGTGCTCGTCTCTGGTCTCACGGTGGAAGCGCAGGAGAACGCAGCAGCCACATTGTTCAGTCTCTCAGCAGTACACGAGTACAAGAAACGGATAGCGATCGTTGACCAATGCGTCGAGGCGTTAGCGTCTTTGCTTCAGAACGGGACGCCGAGAGGGAAGAAAGACGCGGTCACGGCGTTGTATAACTTATCGACGCATCCTGATAACTGCAGTAGAATGATCCAAGGAGGAGGAGTGTCGAGCCTCGTCGGAGCTCTGAAGAACGAAGGCGTGGCGGAGGAAGCAGCAGGAGCTTTGGCTTTGTTAGTGAGACAGTCTCTTGGAGCTGAGGCTATAGGGAAAGAGGAATCAGCTGTGGTGGGACTCATGGGAATGATGAGATGCGGGACACCGAGAGGGAAAGAGAACGCGGTGGCTGCGTTGTTAGAACTCTGTAGGAGCGGTGGAGCCGCCGTGGCGGAGAAGGTGTTGAGAGCTCCGGCGATCGCCGGGTTGCTGCAGACGCTTTGTTTACGGGGACGAAGCGGGCTAGACGGAAAGCTGCTTCGCTTGCTCGGGTTTTCCAGAGGAGGGAGAACGCGGCGATGCGGTCAGGTGGTTATGGGTTTGTGGAGAATACGAACGGGAATAGAGACGGCGGCAGTTTTACGACGGATGTCTCTGTTCCGATGTCGATCTCCATCTCCGTACCTGTGTTGTGATGATGATGATCTGTGTTTAGTTAAGAAACTTTTTTGTTGTTGTTGTGGGTGGTGGTGTTTGGTTTCATTGTTGTCTATATTATTATACATTTATTGGTTGGGGAGGTATAATACACATCACATAAATATTTTAGAGAAGATATGTATATGTATCTTCCAGGGGGAAAAAAAGAGATAGAAAAGAGTTTAGTGTATGGTTGTTCTTTATATGTATTGTCTTTGTTATGTAAGCTTATGAAACCTGTTGCAGTATGATAGTCACTAAGGAAGTTGCGTTTTTATTCGAAATATTTAGAGAATCAAACTGGAGAGAAAGAAGGTTTTGCTAGGAAGGTAGTAAAAAAGAAATTTATAGTTTATTAACAAAGGTGGGTTGTACTTAGATTTAATTAAAGACATAAGAAAAAGATAAGTAAGAAGACTTTAAGTTTAAAGTATTGACTAATGGAGGAACCTTTAAGAAAAACAGTCAACAAAAAGAATAATTACATGACAAAGAAATGGAAAAAAGTGAGGGTTGAAGTATGTAATGTTTGGATGGTCTCTCCACTTGTGAAATTGTTAGAAGAAATATTACAAAAGGGGTTAACATATTCATTGCAAAAGCCAAAAGGTAGAGAAAAGAGAGAATCTCCAGTTATTTGATGGCCTTTTTGTTAATTGTGAGTTGGGGCTAATTTAACTTCTTCTTTTTAGGATTTTCATTTCGAAGTTGATTTATTAAAACACAAAGATTTCCATTTCAAACTCCTATAGATTTCAACTCTAGCTCGATTAAGATGCGATGATTCGTGCAGGTCGAATATGTCATTGGTAAAAGTAAAAGTATCATCATCGTTGACAAAAAAAATATCATCATCTATAATTCTGTTTAAGTCGATTTCATGAAATATAATGTGGAGATTTATGATTACAAATTGACAGTAAGATAGAGAGTGTCGTCCATTATTTTCTGTTCTGTTCTTTTTTTTTTGAAGTGGATGCGACTTATTGTGTCTATGCTTTTTTGGAGTTTAATATCATGTGCGTATGCGCATTAACATCCAACCATCTTTTATGATAATTCATACACTTATATGTGTGTGTATATATATATATATATATAATGATATCTTGTTCAATGATTCAATGAAAGATCATGGTCATGCATACGCAGTTTCTTTTCTTCCTAATTTTGTATAATATGGTAACATTTGTATTACTATAATACACACTCGACAGTTGCATGTTTGCTACTTGGAAAAACTAGACTGATAACATTAGTTCAATTTAGACGTTGTCCACAATCCCTCCAATGACTTATACAGCTCATGAGAAGTTTCTAAATTTCTAATTAAACTCTTTACGCTATCATGAATATTTATTGACAAATTTTTCTTTTTAAGATTTTGCATTTTTCTTTCTACAGATATTGAGACGAGCTTCAAAATCATGTTAAGCACAGAACTAAAAGATCTATAACAAAGTTATTGTGTTACTCATATAATCCATGTTTATTCAGATGTATAATGATGCTATATCAATTGTTGATATAGTTTTTAAAACAGTATTTTACTTTGGCTATGTGACCAATAGATGGAAATTAGTTTTCCAAAACTAAATGAGTTTTGTAACAAGTTTAAACTATGTGTTATGGCCACTTAAGAACAAATTCATGAAGCAATTTGAATTAATGAGATCAATGATAAGCGCTAAAAGTTTTTTAAAGGTCAATGATAAATCATTTTAGCCAAATCAGCGAATTCTAGTGAAACAGTTTTAGTTTCCAAATTCAAACGGTATGCACACAAAGCTCTATAACCGAAAGAAGCAGAAAAAAAAAACACTCTTTCATTATCTAGTAAGAGTTTTGCCAGAGCTGTTGGGTTTGGTTCGAAGGCTGGCCAACCTGAGCCCCTGCACCGTCTCTAGGGTTTTGCTGCTGGCGATCAAGAGACATTTCTGTTTGGGATTGATAGAAATTTGGGTAGCCATGAGATCCATAATGCTGTTGTTGCTGAGCTTGACGATACCCGCCTGCTGCTTGCTGAGGCTGTTGCTGTTGCTGCTGTGCTTGGAGGTTGTAGTACGTGTTAGCCGGGATGCCTGACATGGTTCGAGAACCGTGACCGTGATGCCACATCGCCGAGTTTTCGTTCTGAAATCAAAAGGGGAAGATTGTCATCAAATGGTTCATGTCTGAAATCAATAGAAAGTGGTAATAAAAGTGACCATAAAAGAGAAATTACCTGCTGTTGCTGAAGCAGCAGCTGCTGCTGCTGTTGCTGTTGCTGTTGCTGCTGAAGTGCCAGTAGATGATTACTCTCTTTGTATTGAGAACTAAGAACATCCTCATAACCGGTAGGAGCAGACTGTTGGTTAAGAGGGAAGTTTCCGGTGGATCCAACGTTGGTCGAGTTTCCAAATCCATAAGCGGAGGCAGGCGCTGATGCAGACTGAGGCAAGTTACTGGGAGAGAGATTGGTTTTGTACTGCGGAAGCAATGCAGCTAGTTGCTGGTGGTAGGAGCTGTTACCAGCATACGTTTGCTGGAAAGCGGAGGGCATGTATGGATAGTTTTGAGGCATTAGAGGATAGCCAATCATGTTTGCAAAGTGTGCTAGAGGCATTGTGGGTTGAGAGTAAGGATGCATTGGAAGCTGTTGTGGAAGAGCTGGTCCAGTAGCGATGTTAGCATCAGGTAAGGTTTGCTGGGTTGTTGCCGGGATTCCACTGCCTCGGAGAACCTGCAGCAATGTAAGAGAATATATAATCAAAATGATACAAATTCCTCTTGTTGTATAATTGGGTTGGATCCCTCAAGATTAAATTATGTGCCAGACAAGAATCTAGAAAATCAATTTCCGAATAGAAACTACTCCCTTCAGTCAAGTAAACATAAACATTTTTTCTTTGACAGTTAACAAGATATCACTACTTCCTACTAAATAAAAGCTAAGAGAAGTTGGTAAAAACAAAAGACATCTCGTGTTTCTTAGAGGCAAAGGGAGTATTTACCTCTGGCATGGGAATGCTTTGCCCACCTAGTGATGAAGCATTGTTGCTGTTCCTTGACTGCATAGACTGTGCAAAAGGTGAATACTGGAAGTCAAGCTCCCTCGCATTTTGTGCTGTTTGTGCCAATAAAGTGTTGGGAGCTGTGTGTGTATACCCCTGCTGAGGCAAAAACAAACAAGAATTAATGTTGACATCCCGGAATATCATAGGCATCCCTAGCCTCGCATCACATCCAGAGATCACAAAACTACTTTTTCAGCAGAAGTATGAACCGCCTAAATGCATTGTTAAAAAATCGAAACGAGATGGTGCTACTATGAAAAAGCAATGAGCTTACCATTACATTTGATAATGCAGCAAGATTCTGCATCTGATTCTGTGCATTTGTCTGTGAGGCATCATATGCAGTATTCAGCTGCTGCTTAGCAGCTTCATAAGCATGCCCTTGCTCAGACTGAGCAAATGTATACTGGTGCTCCTGAGCGGTCTCGGAATTTTCTTGCTTCAAAACCTCTCGCCTAGATTCTAAAGAATCATCAAAATTTCCAGCAGCAGGTGCATGGGCCATGTTTCCATTGGCTGTACTTTCAAGATGTTCATCTCCATAGAACTCATTATTTCTGCAAACAAGCATTGATCAGTTGGTAAGTAAGATATAAATGAAACCTATAAATATTAGTAGTAATGGAATACCTAGCATCAGAATGTTCCATTTGTGGAGCTACATCAGGAGTCTCTTCCACATTGTTGCTCACATGCCTTGATCCAAAACCTCCAAAACTTCCAAAACTTAATTGCGAGCATTCCTCTGTATGGATTAACAAATGATCTGGAATAACAACAGCAGGTATATCCTGCTCATGCGATGCTTCTTGATCATGATCTTCTATTGTTAATTGTTGAAAGTTGGCCGAACCAGATGAAACATCATCTTCATCTGAGAAGTCATAATGAGACAGTGAATAAGATACAATCAATAACACCAAAAGATCCTCATACTGAGTTTCAAACTTTTTTTTGACAAAGCTTCAATCATTGAGCATCAACTCTACCACCAAAAGATAATTGAGAGAAGAAAACGTAACAAACAATGTATAGTATCGGAACAAACCAAAAAGAAAGAAGCTTTCATCTACCCCCAGCAGAACTATAAGCATATTTGTATTCACATGATCAATAAACACAAGCCTGCCCCACTATGGAACAGAAAAAAGATTTTGATTATAATGGCACACACTAGCAATAATTGTGATTTAATAGATGAAGAGACATATTGTCATTCACAACATAAGTCCAAAGTTGCTCACGTAGCCAGCAATAAAAAAAATCAGACAAACACACACCATTTTATATCTGAGACCATTTCAAAGATCCAAAATATTACCTTTGGGGTGCTCAACAGGATGGCTCTGCGTTTGATATGTATATTGATTACCATCAAATTCAGACAAAACTCCCGAGTCTTCTTGTACATTTCTACCAGAAACCGAGTCAGGTTGCACATGATCAACTCCACGACTTTCAGAAGGGCCATTATCTGCTAAATGTATATTTTCTAACCGGTCCCTCAGATGTTGATCTTCTCTGTCGGACTGGAAACCAGCTGGACCATTGGAAACCTCTGACTCTGCTGGTGCTACTGATACAGAAGATGTACTAGGAGCCAATGGCTTGTCAATCGATGGCCATTCATCTTTAACAGGGACCTGGTGATCTGCATTAACTTCATGGTCCTGATTTATTTCAGAACGCATATTGACATTTTGTCGTGAGTTTGTTGTCGTCTTGTTCTGTGGTCTACCCATCTTCACAATGTCAGCCATAGACATCTGGCCTGGAGCTCCAAACCATGCAGCTTGATGTCCAGAAGCAGGCTGTGACGATGATATTCCGTCGCCCGAGGCAACAGATGGCAATTTATTTTCCGTGACAACAGGATTACTGCAAAAGACATGCACCGTACATCAGAAACCGCGGGAGTTATTAATCAAACAGATACTATACAAGTAAGATTGTCAAGTTATTAGCTCAGATCTTTCGGAAAAATAAATACTTGCAATGAACCAGTAAAACTAATTGTGATGTTCTACTACATACTTAAGCCATAGGTCATATAAACTCTTTAAACCCTCAGGCGCAGTTTGACCCAACTAAAGCTTTGTTTTTAATGTAGGACAGCCTAAGATCAAACAAAATGATCACATTGATATTCCTTAAGCACATCATAACCTCGGAATACTGAATCATTACTAAATGGATCCTAGCAATACAATGATTAACTTAATGTGCAAAATATGAAACTATTTATTTGATTCAATATGAAGCACACAGAACTTCACTGATTTTTTATATTTTGCATCCAAATTTCATACTGCAAAAGAAAGAGACCAGTCAAAGGAAAAACCTGTGTGGTGTCGGATGGTGGTTTGCCACTCCCGAGGCAGAAGACCACGAACCTGTGTAACTCTGGGTTCCACTTTCTTTCTTGTTTGTAGATTTTCCCTGGAAGTTTCCAGAATCTGAAAAACAGAAGCACACAAGCATGAATACTATGGCTGAAACTATTATAATTTTTTATGTATCCAAAGAGAGCATATTTATACCTGTAGAGCTGAAATGGGTAGATCCACTTCGTCCAGCATAGCGATCAGAAGTACCTCTACCACCGCGGTTGTATGTGTTATTAGCACCACGCAGCCGGGAATCCGGAATATCCCTAGTCTGAATAGAAAAGAAAAGACTTGAGAGAAGTCGCCAAAATTCAGATAACTAGCTAAAACTCGAAACCATTTGATTCCAGCAAAACATCTAGAGTCAGGTACTCAATGAGGACAGCTAGTAACAAAGCAATCGTAAGGCAGTAAGTAGTCCTCAGGATAACAACATAACAGCAACAATATTTCAATACCATTATGACTAGAAACAGAAGTCGATGGTATCACACATGGTCTAAACCTGTACTACTACAGTAGTACACACATTTTTGCCAATTAGTTTGCATTTAAAATGCCAAAATTGTACTCGAAAATCAGAAAAAGACACTCCCTGGTCTAAATGCCATAAGAATACTGAGTTTCTGCATTAACTCACCTCTTTCTTCTTCTCTTTTTTGCTCTTTACCTCGTGAAAAGGATCTGAATAGAGAAAAAATAAAACAAGTATCAATATCAATAAATAGACGCTAACTGTATAAAAGACCAAGCCTTTAAGCTGATAACTAACTTTCACCAGAAAGTAAGCTAAAACGACCTTAAACACGAAATGCTGAAAAAAGAATAGTACGAAATTGAAGATCAGGAACTAAGAAAGCAAATCATTAGCAACAGAGACGACCCAAAAAAAAAGACAAAAGTTGAGGATTTCAGTAACAAAACCAGCTAAAAAACTTGACAGTTCCACAAAAACCACTGAAGGCAAACACAGCTTTAGATTTCGAGAAGGACTCAATGCTAGAAAATAACAAAAAAAATTTCTGGTCCCTTAGAATTAAAACCCCAATCAAACCCTAATAGAAACCCTAAAAAATCATTCAATTTTGACAAAACCTCCTCCGGAACCATGCAAACCCTACTTTTCTCCGCCGCACAAATTCACTGTTTACTTAAAACACAATCCGCCGACACAAGAATTTGAGAGGAAAAAATAAAAAGAGGAACCTTGAGAGAGGAGGCGATTAACGGCTTCGTTAGGATCCATGTTGCACTCTTTAAGCATAGCATAGATCTCAGCCTCGGGAGAGTTTACAATCTCCTTCAAGCTTTGTACTATTTTTCTAGACCCTGACGGAATATCGTAAATTCCGTTATTGCCCTTCCTCGCTCCGGCACTTCCGCCGCCGACGCTGACCTTACTGCTCATCTTATCAGCCGATAAACTGCCTCTCACTCTCTCTCTCGGATCTGAAACAGTAACACACAAACGCTTATGTGCTTTTCTCAGTCGCTAGAATACGAACAAGGAATAAAAAGGAGGAAGAAGACGAAGCAGAAGGGGAAGATATATCTGTAGAAGGAAGGAAACCCTCTCTCGATTTTTTTTTTTTTTTCACCTAATTGGAAAAAGTTTACTTTCCTTTTATTTTTCTTTTCAAAAAATTGTAAAATTACTTACGGTTATCTCGTTTAAACCACCGACCGTATCTAATTTAAACCGCACAAAAACCACATCAAACCGAGGTTTTTTTTTTTTTTTCGTTAACTTATGCCGCATGATCTGACAAGTTACATGTAATCTTTCCAGATTTGCCATGCCGAATGTAGTAGTGCTTTAAAAGACATAAGTCTTGTGTGTTCTCATGAAGTGGGTAAATATTTTTACTTTTTCTATTTTCGGACAAAACCAAGATTATTAGGAGGAGTTCTAGAACTCGTCGTATGTTGCCAATAAAAACCAATTGTTCTATTCTTCAAGGAGTAATTGTTGTCCTAGTTCGAGTTTACCATTTTGTCGTGAATAGGATCAGAAATGAGTTAAATTTCCGATTGGTTTGGATTTAAATCTTATCCTATGAAAGACTTACTAGTTTGGATTACAACTTCAGACAAAAGTTAGCACATGAACTTTCTTAATAAAGAAAGAGAAAAAAAAACTATTGCAAGAAAAGGTTAGAAGATACAAATAAAGGGAGAGAATCGCAACTGGGCTTAATCAGCAGATTCCTTATGTTTCATAGGAAACACTTTAGCTTTTCGTTATGGTTTAGTTTTACTTACATGTTTCTTTGTGTTGTTCGATTTAGTACGACAAAACAGTTAAAAAGGGACCTCTACTAGCATTAAAAGGAAAAACAATCTTCAATTGCTCTAAAGTATCAGCGTTGATTAAAAAGTTAAACAACAAACATTGGTTACGCTCACTTCTTATGTCAAATTAAGTGATATAACTTGTTAGCAAACATTACTAAGTTCGAAATCAATTTAAATTTCACTACTTGTTCTTCATTTTGTTACTATAGATGATGAAACAGTTGGAAGAGGTTTGAATTTTCCCACCAAAAAAGGAGCTTATAGATTTTTCCTGTACTAAACAAGTTTATCTGTAAATACCTTTTCCTCTTTATGGTGTTTTCTCTTTGCTTGAGGATTCTAGCTTCCTAGTTTCTCCTTTCTCAAGTTTTCTTTTATTCTCCCTCTCATACATGTCTTCGCGTCCCTTCTCTCTCCCATCCCAAGAAATCTTTGATTCTATGATTCTCTTTCTCCTTTCATCATTATATATATTATATATCTATACCTGAGAGGGAACTTCTTCGCAAGCATTCTATCTTTCCTCTACCAAATCCCAAAGGCTACCTGAGAAGTCTCTCTCCATCTCTCTTTCTTTTTCTCTCAAAAGCTTTCCTAAACGAGGAGGAACGGAAAGAAAATGACTCACCGTCTAGCTCCCCGATGTTTTCAGATCATGCTTCTATGTCTTCTAATCACTTCACGTAATCACTCTACGTCTGATACAACATTAGGATCGTGAATAGACTGCTTTGTATTCTTTTCCTGCACATTCAGAATGAAAGGATTGTTGAAGGTTAAAGAGTGTCAGTGTTTTTGCAATGAACTAACCTGATTTTTTGTGATGATTTGCTTTGGTTTCAGCTATAGATGTTATAGCTCAGGGAGGACAAGGTGATATACCAGTTGTTAATCCTACATCTCCCGGTGGCAGTACCACCACACCAACCATAACACAACCATCTCCGCCTTCCACAACATTCCCTGGTCCAATCACCAACCCAAATACACCAACCGGCGGTTATCCACCACTTGATGGTACACCACCTACCGGTGGTGGCTATCCACCACTTGATGGCACCACACCAACAGGTGGTTACCCACCACTTGATGGTACCACACCAACAGGTGGTGGTGCACCTGGTGGAGGTGGAGGTGGTGGTGACACCGGTGCAGGTGGTGGTGGTGGTGCACCTGGTGGAGGTGGAGGTGGTGACACCGGTGCAGGTGGTGGTGGTGCAACTGGTGGTGGCGGTGGTGGTGACACTGGTGCAGGTGGTGGAGGTGGTGGTGGTGGTGGCCAGTGGTGCATAGCTAAGGCAAATGCTTCGCCAACATCATTGCAGGTGGCTTTGGATTACGCTTGTGGGTATGGAGGAGCTGATTGTGGCCAGATCCAACAAGGTGCAAGCTGTTATGAGCCTAACACTATCCGTGATCATGCTTCCTTTGCTTTCAATAGTTATTACCAGAAGCATCCTGGTTCAGACAGCTGCAATTTTGGTGGGGCAGCACAACTTACCAGCACAGATCCAAGTAAGACCATTTTTTTTGTATGTACAAGTCTTCAAAGAGAAATCCTACATTTTTCTTTGCTACCTACATGAATGGTGTGAGCTACTTGAGACCTCCACAACTGAACAATGTTTCGAGTGATTTAGGATAAGTTTCATGAAATTAGATAAACTATCCCATCATATGTATCCAATGTATTAAAGAGCTCTTATAACAACTAGAGTTTTCACCTTTTATGCTTGAGACTGGTATTCAAATCTGCTCTTATACTGCTCCAGGTAAAGGAAGCTGTCGCTTCTCATCATCATCAGGAACAGTCAGGTATGGTTCCTCTTTCCACGAAACTCAACGTCTTTAAACTGTGAGAAAAAGTGAGAAATACAAAACTGATTTATTTTTGCTAAATGTAGCACAAGCCCGCCAAGTCAACCGAGTCCACCAGATTTTAGTTCCCCACCTTCTACTACATACCCACCCCCAATAACAACTCCAACTATAGGCATACCTGGTTCTGGACCACCCTTCGGCGTAGCAGAGCCAACAGGGCTTCCGAGTTCAGCAACTACTGTGTCACATAGCTTCCTCTCAATATTTACAGCAATTGGGATACTAATGCCATTGCTCAGGCAAAATTATCTTTAAACGGACAAGGGTTTCCAGGGTTTCAATCATTCTCTGCAAATCACAAAGCGTGTTTTCTATACATACCATCACGATGTATGGAGTTCAAGAAAGCAAGCCGTGATCAGCAAAGAAGATTTTAATCCCAAGACCTTGCACTCATCATCTGTTCTCTTGCTATAGTTCATCATGGAAAGTATATTTATTTACTAGGAGATATTACAAAATCAAAGGGCTTAGGATATATACATTCTTGTAGACTCATTAAGCATAATGTATCTCTCCACAGTTTTAGAGAGTAAAATACTTAGGGAACGGTTAAAAAAAAATACAAAAGCAATATCAGACATGATTGATAATTAGGGAATAGCAATGGAAATATACACAACAAAATAAAATGATGGCTACTTCAAGTAGTTACATACCTGCAGCATCCCAAAACTGGCACACCGTTGATGGAGAGACGAGCTCCACAATATCCTTAACAATGCTCTTCCAGTTTCTCTATTCATGATCTTCTAAGTGGATATTTTCGACCCCAAAAACTAGTTAATCTTGGAATTATACGCGATTAAAAGATCAAGATGTTACCAGCGAATAGTACCAAATGCAAGCATCTCATAAACAGTGGATAAACACAAGCACATTAACTTGAGTAACATTGAGTAAATAAATACAGTACATTGTTTCTTCATACACATTGTTACAGTGATTTACAGATGACAGTCCTTTTTTGCACACGAGTATAGTTATATCAAGAACAGGATCGATACAACTGTGACACCAATGATGCCTAGAGTGGCGACAACTGAATCCTGCTCAAACGCTTTCTGCAAGCTGCCTGCTCGTGAGAAATGCTGGAAGGCCAGAAAACACGATATCGCCAAAGAAATGAGAGCCCCTTCTTGCTTCCCTCTGCACGTAGATGGAGCCACTGAGTCTCGACTAAAAGAAAAGTAAACCCTGATACATTCTCTAAGACTCTAACCTTATGCTCATCACTTGATGTGGCGCCACAATCGCCAAGAGTAATGCAATGAATGGCAGTTCAAGTTCACCTATAAAAAAAAAAAGCATTCCGGAAAGAATTACAAGGACATAAAGACAGGGATAAAACTTCTGAAAATTTAAGATCTGATGAGACAGACATCCATGAATCTCGTTTGTATATAGTAATTTTAGTCTCTGACAGAACAGGTCTTTATTATTAACATGATTCAAAATTCTTTCCCAGTAAAAGCCAGTTAAACCAAAAAAAATACACTTGAAGATGAAAAGAAACCTGGAAAAGCAAAGAAGAGACGAGCAAGAAGCGCCAGGAATGCTGCCCAGATGCCATATTCACCCCTGCAAAAATCAGAGGCAGAAAGTTAATGACTTGAAGTTCTCTCATCCCGACTAAACGGAAACAGAAAAAAAAAAAAAAAAAAAGAAGAAGAAGAGAAGCTACATAGTAAACACCACCAAGCATTAGTAATGAAAAAAAGTAATCACATAGCCATTAAAAAAGCTTACTTTGCCCAGGAGATAATGCCCGATGGTGCGGTTAGAGCAAATAGTGGAACAACAAAGGACTTGTGAATACCGGTACCCCTTGCAAGCATTAATCCACTAGAACAAAGAAAGAAAAAAAAACACCATATTTCAGTATAACATTGAGCTCATGCTGTTTACATTTTAAAAAAAAAACTGGAAATTACACAATCAGCTATCGAAATTCACTTTCGCAGTCAAACGAATACATACAAGCTAAAATTCCTGAATCCTGTAAATCTTTTGGTATATATAAGTCCTAGATTCACACTGTTCCATTTCCGAATGAAACTAAGTTCAGTATTTTCACTGACATTCACAATTACTGAAAATGAGAGAGATCATACACGCATGAAATTGCGGAGATCCATTGTAGATTATGAGCAGACATCGGAACAGCATAACAGACCACACTCGATCCTCTCTTTCGCTGCTTCTCAACTCTCGTAGACACCGTCGCGGTTCGCTGGCGATCTATCGATACTCTGCCAACATTCAGACGAGAAGAATTATGTAATAGAATCCAAATCCACTGATTGAGAGAATTTTAGAATCCCTGTGTGTCTATGTTACCTTAGCGGATTGAAGCAAACACCACTCGTGCCGTGACCAATACCGGAGAGATCTGAAGAACGAGGCCGGAGTTTAAGAGAGAGAAACGGTTTCTGGTGGTGGAGAGAGACGATCCGGGACGATGAGATACAGAGACTCGCCATGCTGCTCAGTAAGTATTTGTTTACTTTAGAGAGAGAGAGACGGTGGTGGAAGATGACGGAGTGATTCCTTTATTTAATTTAACCGACGGTATGATCTTTCCGTTAAATTGGATTTCATTGCATGCAATATATATGATCGTCACGTGGACGGTCTAGAATTAGCGCAAAAGGAGTGGGGCCCCGTTTTACACGTGATTGGAAACTGAAATCACAATCATCAAAAGAATCTTGAATCTCCACCGTTGGCATCAAACTCGAATGCTAATCTACCACTTAGGATTCCACGTCAGCTTTGAAATATCCAATTAAACGACCGACATGCCACGGGTCTTGCTTCGGTTTTGTAAAATGATCTTTCTTACACTTGGGACAAGACAAAACTCCCAATGCTGATCAACAATTTAGCTCAATAATTGAAGATAATTAAATAAAAAAATTCGTTCTCGTTGATTGTTTAGAACTTCCATTGTTTTGACGACAAAAAAAAAAAGAACTTCCATTGTTTTTTTTCTTTATATGTTGTGTGCAGCAAGATTGAATTTTATCAGCAACAAAAAAAAGGACAAATGACTTAAGAGAGTACTCTTTTTCTTTACTGTACAAATTGCCAAAGCGTTTAATAAAAGAAACAAGGAGTTTCAAGAGTTACAACATCATACCCACATAAAAGTTAAAACCGAGAGAGTATTTCATGGTTTTTCTATATATACTCCATGAAACCAAAAAAGAACATGAAGGAGAAAAAAAAAAAGAAGCAGAGTGGATACTCAAAGCTGCAGCATTTAAAACCTGCAAATCGAAAACACAGTTTGCAGGTTTCTGCATCAGTTAACTCTGCCTTTTTTCCAATATGTACGGTTAAAAATTAGTACTTAAAAAAAAAAAAACAGTGACGATCACAACACTGAGCCTTCTCTCCCCTTGTGTCAGCTTTTCTCTCTGCCATCATCATTGAGCTCCGATTCAAGAAGATCCACATTCTTACTTTCCTCAACATTAACCTGTAAACAACATAGCCTCTCAATATGTATGCAGCATTAACTTCCTTAGGGATCATTTGGGTTGTAGTTGTTTCAGACCAAAGAATAATGTTTTTTAACAGGCTTTTACCTGTTCAACAGAGTCTGAGTTGATAGATGTATCGAAGATAATTGGACGGCAACGCATGTCTTCATTCATCAAGCTTGAGTTCTGAAAATGGGCTATAAGGGCAGATTTTCCTTGTATCCGAGCATATGCCAATGAAGCTACTTTCTCACTGTTGAACTTCTCCCACTTCTTCCCATTAAAAGCCTGCAAACATAATATGTTTTGTTAGTTCATCTTCTGAGTTATCTCAACTGAATTTTAACAATGTCTTAGAAGGAAAGCGCAGAGAGAAGAAGACCTCGTAAAATGGAATGATGAGATCTGGAGAGAGCATGTTGATGAATGCATAGCCAACATTGCATTTGTTCTGCACAGCCACAGATTTATTAACCGCTCCATGTATCATTTATTAATTCGTACCTTCGAATCTTTAATGAATCTTTTTTACCTTAAAATCAATGGGCAAATACAGAAAGTTGTAAGTTCCTTGGTTCTTTTCATCAATAGCAGCTAGCAACATTTTCGAGGTGTATCTGTTGTTAAGAGCATAAAAGGAAGAGTCATTTTCCGAGCAATATTGCACAAGAAGTAATGGTAAAGAAAAGAAAAGCTTACTTATTTGGGATGTTCTTAATCATCAAGGTAGTTCGAGGGTCCTCTCCATTCATAATTTTGTCCAAATCAAGTTGAAACTGCTTCCTGCTTTCGACCTGGCTCGAATTGCTCTCGACTCTACGTGCCCTTCCATTTTCATACAACCCATCAAAGCCAGAGGAGAACCGTCCTGGGTTTAGACCGCTGCTCAAGAACATGGGGCTGAATCTCGGAGAAGACATCATTCTGTAACTTGAGAAACCGTTCTCAGCCATGCTTCCTTGGTTCATGATCCCATGATTTGTCATTTTTGACGGGAAACTTCCACCATTGAGACCCACTCCACTCGTTCCTTGAAGACCAACAGAGTTCATGAACGATGTGTCCTTAGAGGACTCTGGGAAGAATCCAAAATGCTTTTCTAGAGGAACACCAGATGGTGCAGACCCAACATGGAGATGATGAAGGCTGCGATTCTGAGTTTGATGCTGATGTGGAAATGGAACAGATCGGTCTGCACGAGCTGAGGAGAATGGAATCCCAGCGGATGATGTTGACCAAACCGAAGAATTCGAAGGTTCAGAGCGTGAGTTAGGACTCCCCCAGAGAAACTCCGATCCCGATAACGTCTCAATCCCACCTCCATTTGATATCAAAGGACCAGAAGGTGAAAGATTTCCAGTGTACTTGTTATCCACCTTTGGCTCTTGGAATAAATGCGACGACTGTTGGAACACATTGCTACCAATTTGACTCCTACCGATGGGTGCAAGCTTGGAGCTTGGTCCTTGTGAATTTAGAGCAGAAGCCAAACCAGACAAGTGGCTGTTCCTTGTAGGACTTATTCCGAAAACGGGTGACCTACTCATTACACTTTGAAGCGGACTACCTTCAACGGGACTGTTCAGCTGCATCCAGTTACCTACCACCACATCACACAGTGTTAGCCTTTAAGGATGTCAAAAATTACAACTTTGTTTGAAGAGACGCATATAGTTAACAGACTCACTTGGAGGAGAGTTTGCCATGGGTGAACCAAGCAGCGGTAGGAAATGCAAATCATCGTTCTCAAGTTCTTGGTTAAGTTGCAACATCAAGCTAGAAGATCAAATATATGATCAGATGTCAGAGATATATTATAAATGATAAGTGAATGTGGCGGATCAAAGAAAGATACAAACCTTCGACGAGCTCCTCCAGGGCGACTAGGTTCAACTTTTATACGTTTTCCAGCTATCTCACACCTATTTAAAGCCTTTAATGCTGCTTCAGCAGCTCGAACATCATAAAACTCAACGAATTTGTGATGCCTCTTATGCGGTGTTTCCCTTATCTGCTTTTCAGGAGGAGAAAACAGCACTTAACATGGATGTTTTATCTTCCAAACCACCTCAATGGAATCAAAAATACACAACGCTTTGTTAAGAAAGAAAGAAAAACAGAAATATATCTATCACCTCTTTGATCTCTCCATGAGCACCAAAAATGCCGTGCAAGTCATCGTTAGAAATTGAAGGATCCAGGTTAAAAACCACTAATGTCCCTTGATTCATATCCTTCTCAGATGGATTATCCTACAGATTACACAGGGAACAGACCAATTAGAGACGATTAGAGCTGGATCAAGAAACGCTCACAATTTAAAGAAAGAACCTTGGGAATTGAGAAATGAATATCCAATTTCCTCCGTCTAAGTGGCTTATTCTGTAGAGAACGCATAGCCATTCGAGCAGCACGAATGTCATAATAAGATATCATGACAAATCCCCTGTGCTTACAAGTAGTATAGAGTGTTCTAATGTCACCGTATTGCTGCCACATAACAACAAAAAAAAACCCATCAGTTTCTATATAGTAAGTTTGTTATAAGGTCAATGTTTGTTGAAGTTACCTCAAAGAGAGCTTTGAGTTCAGAGTCCTCTACATTGCTGTTAATATTCCGGACAAACAATGTTCTCGAGGGATGTTCACCGTAAGGATGCTCACCAGCGACTGTTCCCGCACCATTTTGAATATTGAATTGCGGAACTGCATTTCCACCAAGACTTGAAATGGATAACCTTGGAGGACCACTGATGCTCAATCCATCTCGAAAATCAGTGTCAAGTTCCATTCCTCCTCCACTACCAAAAAGATCATAATCATCAGCATCTGGTAACTCGGTAAGGTCAAGATCATCCATCATTCCTGTCAAAAGATCCTCTTCATCAGGGAGCAGGTTTCCAATGGAATGAGATTCAATATCATCAAGGCTTTCGTGAAATTTGTTCGGACGAGAAGCAGCCGCATCATCTATCAATGAGAAACCATCTCTGTTTTCACTCAATTGCACTGCAAAACAAAAGCAAAAACTACTTGTAAGCAAAAGAGAGAAAATGTATGTATATATATAACACGATTAAGGGAGTTTGGTTTGTACGTTTTCCACGGGGAAGAACAGGTAGAGAACTGGAGAACAAAGTAGCATCACTGGAGGGACGATGGTGGCGACCAAATCCAGAGGGAATCCCCCAAGCTCCAGCTAATTCTTGTGGAATATCCATTCAGTAATCTATGTCTGCTTTGCAGATTAGAAGAGGAATAAATTGATAAAACGGATTAGACCCAGATACATTGGAAACATCACAGATCAGATATACGTTGAAAATCAAGATACAAGAGTGAATAACACATTTGAAATCTCAAGTCATGTGTTGAAAAATTAACATGCAAGCAAGAAAGACTGATTGAGAGAAGAAACTAAAACCTAAAACCAATAAAAATGCTTAATCAATACGAGATTGCGTATAAAACCAAATAAATAGATAAAAAGACAGAAGCAAAACTCAAAGTTATGATCAAACTAAAGACGTGAAGAAATAATCAACTTCACATCCAAAAGGGCATGAAAGTAATCTTTTTTTTTCTTTGCTATTGAAGAAAGTCTAAAAACTGTCAATTGATAGAGAGCTTTAATCCAATACCAATACTATAGTATAAGTCGCCAGTTTATGAAATCAGAATCAAAACACAGAAGATCGTTGAACAAATAGCATGATTAAACACTCAGAAGATCAAACAAACACAGAACCAGGTTGCTTCATGTTACGAAACTAACCCAATTAGCTTGTCCTATTCAGATCATCAAAAGCTAAACCTTTCAGCACACTTATTGATCGACATCGCCGACAAAAGCACAAGAAGAAAAAAAAACAGCTTTTAAAGATAAAAAGACCACGAGAAGAAACCATTCACGATTCCAGAAAGGGTTTAGACAAAAACCCAGAACGAAGAAAAAAAAGAGAGGAGATTTCAGTAGAAAAACCATTCAATTGGTGAAGAAAACACCAAGAACCAAAAATAAAAATTTGTTGCGAAAAAAAGGGTGAAAATTGGAAAGTGAGAAGGTAAAGAGTTAATACCTCAAATGTGCAGTTACCAACACCGACGATGATCACGATACAGAGCACGAAGAGAAAGAGATTCTCTACCACCAACCAAAACCCGAGAAAATAAATCAAACACGCAAAAAAATAAAAATGAAAACAAAAAAAAAAAGAGAGAAGATGGATGAAAATTTGGACTTTTCTCTTATATTTGTGGGGTTTAATAGAGAAGAAACAATAATGGGGCAAAAAATATCAGAAGAACACAAGAAAGGATGAGAATGATTGATGCGCTAAAGAAGTTTTTCTTAACTGTATTTAAATACATTTTTGCGTCCGATTTGACACTTTATTTTATTTTTATTTTTTAACTATGATTTTGACACTTCCGTATTTATCTCTTATTATCTCCAGTTATTATCCATAAATGTGTTAAGATTTATCAAATCAATATTTGGTTTTTCATCAGCGCAGAACAGTTTATCTGTATCTGGATGCATTTTTAACAAATACTAGCCTTATGTGCTACATTTAATTTATTATCCATTAAAGGTTGGGATTAACCAACTATATATTTATATGATCTTTGTAAGGAATAATGTATCTAAATGAAATTGTAATCTAAGTTCGCATTTCGATATTTAAATTATTTTGTTAAGTTTACATTTAATTTTTTTTATAAGTAGAAGGTAAGTTTACATTTACTTTTCCGTAGAGATGATCCATAAGATTAGAAAAATTGTAATAAATTAAAACCGTGAGCTTTTGCTTAAGCAAACAGATAATCTTATACCTTAAACAAAGTTGATGTAGTTAAGTCTTTTGTTGGTTATTTTTGGGCATAAGAGTATCGATATTAAATGCAGCATATATTTTTAGTCTAATTGTTTTGTAAGAGTTCATGGTTTCACTCGCTATCATTGGAAAACCCTTTTTTTTGTCTCTGATAGATCTGCATCGCATTACAAATTCTTGTGTTCCGGAACGGCTACACACAATGTTATGTCTCTGATTAGCCCAAGAGGTCATGTCTTCATAACTTCATTGATCAACTACAGTTTAACGTTGAGGCAATCAAAAAATCTGCATGACATTATATTGTAGTTTAAAGTTATAAAAATGATATTTATTTTTGGAAAAATGGCGTTTTGTTGTAGTCAAAAATCTTGCATATATAAAAAAAAAAATCTTGCCTAAATTTAAAGAAGGGAAATATCAAAAGCAGTTATACCTTTGACACGTACGATGATGGTCATCAACCAATAACCATCACTGTTGTCAAACTAAGTAACTAACACTTGTTATGAAATATTTCGACATAACAATCTCGGAATTAATATATTTTTCAATGCTCTCAGAAATTAAATTAGACGTTTTTTATCAAAGGGGTATATACCGATTTAAGAACTAAAGCGTACGAAGTTATCCGTAAACGGCCGTATTGTTAATGTGTATTTTTTTCTTTCTCAAATGAAATTTTTGTAACACAAATATAATGTATATGATTCTTGGTGGATCTAGAGTCTTAAATTTAGTTTAGTATGATTTATATGGTAGATTTTACAAATTTTAAAATCACATTATTGTATCTGGATATATATATATATTTCTTTTATTAAGGTAATATTTATATATATATATATATATTTGAAAATTAAGACAAAATTAAACGATAGATAATATGTCAAATCAAATGGAGTATATTTTAATCTTTCACAGTTTGATTTGAAAAAAAAATTTGCGATGACTTTGGAAAGTTTCAAATCATTTCGATAAAATCTTCGTAGCTTCTTACACCATCTCAAACATTTCTTTATTAAAGTTGGATTGAAACGGAGCCAATAATGGGACTGAGTATCATTCAAAGTTAATAAATACATGTTATATTGAATATGGATGGTGAGGCTCGTAGTCAACGACTCGACCCTGTTAAAGTTAAATCTATTGTAATCTCTTACGAGAAATTAAAAACATTTAGGCCATATTCGTTTTATGATCTAGATGCTGCATTTAGATTTTGCATCTAGATGTTGTATTTAGATTTTGCATTCAGATATAACATCTAGATACTGTTTGTTTTGGAAACTAGATTTTGCATCAAGATGCTTTATTTAGATACTAAATTGTTCGTTGAATTAAAAAAAATAGTTGAATACAAAATATATCAAATGACTAAAAAATATATACTTTTGAATTATTATTTTTTAATAAATGATATTTTTATCAAATTAAGTTTTAAAAATACATGAGATTTTGTTTTTTTTTGCATTTTTGTGAGAAAATATGATTTTGTATATTTTACGGGAAAACTTTTTACTGGAATTTTGAGTTTTTGATAAAAAATTAAGATATTGTGATTTTGGCAGGAAATCGAGATTTTGCGTTTTCGACGACAAACCAAGAGTTTCCGTTTCCGGCGAGAAACTGAGATTTTTCTTTTTTGGCGAAAAATCAAGATTTTGCGTTTTTGGCAAGAAACCGAGAGTTTTCTTTTTTGGCGGGAAATCGAGATTTTGCGTTTTGGCGAGAAACCTAGATTTTTTGTTTTTGGTGAAAAATCGAGATTTTGTGTTTTTGGCAAGAAACCGAGAGTATTCGTTTTTGACGGGAAATCGAGATTTTGCGTTTGGCAAGAAACCTAGATTTTTTATTTTTGGTGGAAAATCGAGATTTTGTGTTTTTGGCGGAAAACCGAGATTTTGCGTTTTTGGCGGGAAACCGAGAGATTTTTTTTTGGCGGAAAATCGAGATTTTGTGTTTTTGGCGAGAAACAAAGATTTTGCGTTTTTTGCGGGAAACCTTGAATTTTCGATTTTGGCGAGAAATCGAAATTTTGCGTTTTTGGCGAGAAATTGAGAGTTTTTGTTTTTGGCGGAAATTTGAGGTTTTGCTTTTTGGCGAGAAACCTAGATTTTTCGTTTTTGGCGGGAAATCGAGATTTTTCGTTTTTGGCGGGAAATCGAGATTTTACGTTTTGGGAGAAATCGATAGTTTTTTGTTTTTGGCGAAAAATCGAAATTTTGCGTTTTTGGTGAGAAACCGAGATTTTTCATCTTTGGCGGAAATTGAAAATTTTTGTTTTTGGCGAGAAACCGAGAATTAACGTCAAAACGGAAAATGAAAATTTTTCATTTTTTTTTGCGAAAAACCGAGATTTTGTGATGTTTATGGAAATCAAAATTTTGTGATGTTTATAGAAATCGAGATTTTTATTTTAGTAAGAGCATTCATATCTTTTACATAAATTAGATGCAAACGCTGCATCTGAACTCTCTATTTCTCAGCATCTAGAATATCCAGATTTTTGAGATGCAATCAATTTGTTTGAATCTGAATGTAAATTTTTTTGTGAAAAAACAAACAACATTTGGATATTTACAGCTAGATGCAGCATCCAGATACAGAAACGAACATGACCTTAAAAAGTATTAAAAAATATTCTGCATTGATCTTATATTTAAAAAAATATTCGGCATTGATCTTACACCATACGCAATCATCAAACAGATACTATATATCTGACCCAAATGCAACATATTTAAGATGTTAGTTGGTGGTGAGATGAATTCATTTCAATCATCAATACAATATGGACTAAAAATGGTGGTGAGATACAATATAGTACCGAATGGAACATATATGACAAATTATATCCCGGATGACTCGGAAGAGATTCAAAAAGGTGTCAACATGAGCGTTATTAAATAATGGTGGATAATGTTACATAAATTTGTATAAAATACTTGTTATCCCATAACAATTGAGATGTCAAGTCATCGTCCACAGAAGAAAATAATGCAGCTTTATGTATTGCCCAATTATCCTACCATGCTTGGAGAATCTATAAATTTAAAATCAAAACGTAACTGAAATTGGATTATGAAAATTTATTTTCGCCTATTTGAAGTGATGTAAGTTATGGTCCCTTTTCCCTTTTGCTGGTTTGATGTCTTTTCTCGGCTAGTTGAGTCTTATGGTCCCTTTTCCCTTTCCTCTATGCCCTACTCTACCCGTCGGCAGCTCTGGCTCGGTGAGTATGCTTCTTCTTCTTTGAAGATGGATCGCATTGTTTGTGATGCGGTTTTATTGATATCCTTAAGTTCTTAAGTTTCCCTAGTGTTGGGGCTTTGTCTCCAGATGGATTTTTTTCCATGCTGGTTAGTGGCTTGAGCTCTGTTTGTAGTTTTGAGTGTGCGATTCAATTTATAATAATAAGATCAGATGACAAAAAAAAAAAAGAGAATCTTTATGGTTTTTAGCTATATGTTTCTTGTGATGTTTAACGGTTCTGCTAGTGTTGTATTTTTTTTTTTTTTTTGCGAAAAACTAGTGTTATATATAAATACTTGCATTTCAATAGAATGTCCTTTAACCTTTCTTTTAATTGTCTTTATATAATAGTTACTGATTTGAAATTGATAGTCGTTTATGTATGGTTGTTTCGTGGAAGATGAATTATGAAGCTTAAGTAATTTGTATATTAATTTCGTAATTAATATTCACAGATTAAAAACGTTGTTTAATGTGTTTAAAATATGTTAAGATAAATAAGCACATAGATACATCCATTATCAAAGAATCTAAATACAGAATTAGAGAAACTTTGAAATAATGAATCCTAGTCAGCATGATTAGTTTATTATAGAAAATTAACAATAAGATATTTGCCAAGAAGTTAAGATATACGACACTGCATCATATAACTGGACCCCTTAATTATATTATGCTATTCTTTATGACTAGTTTCATTTCTTCACGGTAGAGCTATAATATAGTACAAAATAAATAAAAAAACAATTAAGAGGTTAACATCATAGGCTCACTTGGGTTAACATCATGGACTTACTTTTTATTTTATGTAAAATTAATCCGATTCCCCACAAAATTTAATCGTATTGCTTTACGGCTTAGATGATGTTAAAAATAAGATATTGCAAAGCCACGTCAGGATAATCTTGAAGCATATGCCATAATGTTACTATGAATATTCCTTTTATTTCCCATTTTGTATTAAAAAGTTGTGGTAAATATATCTGTTGTAACAAAATTTAGCAAACTCATAGTTTTTGTTTTTGTTTTTATGGTCATGGGAGCCAGCACGAGAGATCATTGACGGACTACTGGGTGAATAAACATTCAACTAATTAATCCAAAATATGTAAGTGTTGAAAGATATACACTATTGTAGAAAACTAGTATAAAACTTTGTTCTTTGACTCATTCAATAATACTATAAAATATCGACTTGAATACATTATATAATGAATCCATTCAATTCAAATTTACTAAAACATATAACATGTATTATTCCTCAAGTAGTTGCAAGAGACTTTGAAGAACGATGAGAAGTATATTGGGCAACAAGGACATGTGTAGACCATCCAAGAGACATAACTCTACAAAAATAAAGCTTAACTCTAATATGTTATTTCCACATTATTAACTGGGGACTCTAACACATTTTCGTCTTGGAGAGCAGGTGTATCATGATAATTTGGGTCATTCTCTTTTGGGTCTAATCGGGAAAGTAATCGGCCTCAAAGTCATGAAAATCACAAATGTACAAAGGAGCGGAACTGCAATTCCAAATTGACACCGCCTGCGATATCATCAAAAGATTAGGATATGTTATCAATAGTAATCCTCCAAGTAATAATCCAAATTAGTGTTGGAAAAAATACATTATACTAGAAAATTATAAAGATTTTATTTTATGTTTTTAACGCTAATTGGTAATGATTTGATTGTTTTTGTTGAAAAAACTAATAAACGATTTCACATGACTCATTTAATCATATCATCTATTCTATTAAAACAGAAACACTTTTAGTGTCTGTTTCCAAACACACCTAATTTTTTTTAAAGCATTTTATTTTATATATTATTTAATTTCGAAAATTGATTATTGATTTAGATATTGTTATATTTCTTTAAATATAGGTTATTTTTAGATTAAATTTCAAATTATTAGAAATTTTAATTAATCAAGTTTAAATATATGTTAGATTTCCTTAAATATAGATTAGATTTCTTTAAATATAGGTTATATTTCTTTAAATTTTTTGATTTAAAAAAAAATAGATAAAAAAATAAATTTTACTAAAAAAACTAAAAAATTAAATTAAAAACAAAAAATGAAAAATTCCCGTGCAGATGCACGGGATTAAAATCTAATAAAAGTATTCAATTGAACGCATATATTAAAAATCTGTTCATTCCAAATTTGACATGGTCGTTTAGATATTAAAAATCTGTTTAATGTGGCAAGCTTTATCAGGATGTATTGCTACTTGCCAAAACCTAACCTATAGGCATATGGGAACAGATAAGAGTTGTCCCCGCTGTGGGAATCCTGAAGAATCTATCAATCATCTTTTGTTTTTATGTCCTCCGGCTTTACAAGTTTGGGCGTTATCGGACTTTCCGTCTCTTCCGGGTCTCTTCCCGAGTACCTCTATTTACCAAAATATGAGCTTTCTCTTTTGAAAAACAAAAGAGTTAGGTATGACAGATCCTCAAAAGGATATCTATCCTTGGATCTTGTGGTATATTTGGAAAGCGAGGAATGACAAGATCTTCAATGGGAAAGAAATTTCCTCTGTAGATACTTGGATCCACGCCAAGGTTGAAGCAGAAAGTTGGATGATTGCAAACCAACCGGAAGAAGAAGAAGACGTATCAGACGAGGCTCCGCACACTCCTTTGCTCCTCAGTCCTTTACCCGATACCCAGAGGTTCCCGATTTGTCAGGTTGATGCATCCTGGATAGGCATCGGCCTGGTTAGTGGGTTCAGATGGAGCCTGAAGGACGAAAGAGGTGGCGAGACGTTTGGGCTACAGAGCTGTCGTAGAAGCTTATCGGCCCTTCATGCCGAACTGGAGAGTCTATTGTGGGCTATGTCTTGCGTAAAAGATAGACAAATTTTATCTGTATACTTTCAAACCGATTGCTCGGATCTTGTAAGCATGTCTGAATCGCCATCGGATTGGCCATCATTCTTATCAGAGTTGGAAGCCTTTCGCAACCTTCAGGAAAACTTTTTGGATTTCACCCTCACCCATATCCTCAGAAGTTCAAATGTCCGAGCGGATAGTCTTGCAAAAGGAGCTCGAGCAAGAGGCTGTATTTTCTCCCAAATCATTCATACCGAGCCAGTTGAAGACGGTTTTCAGACCATTCTCTTAACGGGCCAAATGTGATGTAATAGTTGGGTTGTGGAAAAAAAAAAAAAGTTTAGATATTACCGTTTCCATGTAGTTGAAACAAAAACAATTAGAATACACATAAATTATGGTGTGACGTAACACATATAAAATCTGGAATAGTTTTACGTTTCTCCGATAATAGTGGTTACAATTTTAAAATAAAAAATTATTGAGTTATAATAAATCTTATCAGGACATTGACTTAGAATCCAATAGTTGGAGGAGGTAAGAAGCTGTTAGAGTCGTCTCTAAAAACGAGAGTTACAGACATTACTTGAGGTATAGCATACGAAATATCATTATCAGAATTATGATATCACAATCGTACCATCATTATTTCATCACCGTTAACCATAGATAAACCGACTAAAGAGTATTTTTTTACCTTTCATGGGGATCTACATTGATTTAAGATCGAAGTATCAAAATCAGATTGATGGATCGGATAACATAATATCGTCTTAACTAGTCAAAATGCTTGATTTTAGTAATTAATACTGTAGCAATTAACAAACTAGAGCCCATTTAACTAACAGAAAAAAGTTCTTATAAGCGATGTTGAGTAAAAAAAAGGACCATAAGGGACCATTAAATTTGCGAATAGGTGACTTTTGAGTGAAAAAGGCTTTGCGAGTTACTTTGAAAATTACAAATATTAGTATGTATAGAGATTTTTTATTTTTTATTTTTTATTTTTTTTGCTTGGAGAGGCAAAATAAAACAGAGGGGGTTGGTGTAAACAAAAGTCACTGTCGAAAGGATGTCGAGTGTAAAGGAAAGACCTCCGTTTGCTTTGCGTCATAAAATGCAATTTGTGTGGTGTATGTATGTTTCCTTTTTCTTAGGGTTCAAAATGCTTACGCAAACTATATACATCATATGTACTTATATATTAATAAAACGAAAAATGTATAAAATTCTTGTTGGACCAAAACAAAAGAGGACACTAAGGAGAAGAAGAAAGAAATCAAAATTCCATATCATAATATTAATAAAGATGAAACGGTTAGTCTTTAAAACAGAAACACTATTTGTCCTTATACTGTAGAGAATCCAATTGTACATAAATGAAAGTCAGAAACAAAAATGGTTTGAGTTAGAAGAGTTTCGGTTGAGAGTGTGGAAGAGAGAGAGACGATCGATATGGGCTAAGTGGGTTTGATTTGGATATTAAATTGGGCTTATTTTAAGGCTTTAAAAAAAATCTACTTTAGAAGCCCTACGCACATAACTAAAGCGGTGTGGTTTTCTGTGAGGCGACGATTATGATCAGTGGGAGAGAAAACCTAAAACCCTAAGCTGACTTCTGCTGCTATATAAAGCTAAAACCTTTACAAACCCTTCATCCATAAAATTATCGGCGGCCAATTATCTCTAGTTTTGTCTAGGACTCTTAGATAGTTATGTGTCAATGCTTTTCGTGTGTCTATGTTGTGATTCTTGAAGTTTGATGAAAGTGATGATTAGAAATTGTCGCCCCAGTCTTACTTGCATCCATTGCGATGGATGTAATATGGTGATTGACTATTTTTATGTCTGATTCTCAAACTTTCAAAGATTTACTCTTCTTTCTTGTATGGTTCTTGTTTTATCTTGAGATTTTCTCTAGAGAAAGTGATGATAAGGAATTGTCGCCCCAGTCTTACTTGCATTCGTTGCGACGGATGTGACATGGTGATTGACTATTTTATGTCTGATTTTTTAAATTTCTTATATATGTTTTGATCTTGAGATTTTTACTTTTTTTCAATTGGAAGTGATGAAATGGCATTTTTGTTTTGTGACACCCAGTCTGATCTGCTTTTGCAGAGTGAGTGATATGCCATATTCTCTGATCCATCATATTCAATGATTGGTTTATGTATTATTATTCAAGTTTGTTTTTTTTTCGAAAGTTCTTCTTTTTTTATGGTTTGGAAATGGAGGAATGAGGATTATATAACCATACGTCTGCAAATCTGAAATTCAGTGTTGATACATAGACATGCACTACCATCTGACCTCTCCTATATATTGTTTTCAGTCTACTTCTTTTTTTTGTTTTCTGCAATCAATGATGAAAATTATGTCCATTTCAATGATAATCCCATGATTATTAAACACTAGATCACCATCTTTCGGCTGAGATTGCAGATTTTTCCCAATTTTTTGATTTGGTTTTTGTGTTGTGTTAGCAATTGCCTATGGTATCTGATGTCCAAAGTTATCAATTGTAGTTGGATGTTTCGTTTTTCAGAGGCAGAAAGTGAATGAACAGGCCTTTGCGACACTGTTAGCTTCTTATGTCCTAAGCTACCTGTTACTTTTTTACCTGTTTATATCATCCATATCTCATCTTTTGGTTTTTTGGTTTTATCAGTTTGCTTCGTATCGTTGCTATCATCTTGTATCTGTTGTATCGTTCTTTTGCAGGGGCTTTGCTTGTTCTCTTGTGTTGGATGTGGTTTTTCTTTTTGATTATCTTTTGCTAAGAAGACGCAGTCCCTTGAAGAACCATCGACTCAATGTAGTATCTTCGTTTGTATTATGTGTATTTTATGTTGCATCGTTGGTGAAATCAGTTAATGTAAACATCTTTTCAAGTTATATTAATTCAAAATAAATCTACCTTACAGTTGTACCAAAGCATCACTTTATTACACATGAACGCCGAGAATATATCATTCAGATACAAAAATTAAAAGAACATGTTTTAAAGTTTACATTTTTTAGAGGCCAAATCTTTTGATTTTTGCTTTGCAAGATTCTGAATAGAGAGTTTTAGTTCTGAAATATCATTAACTTAAATTCGGCCGACTGATGTTCTTTGCTCTAACATGAAAGTTTCTTAAATAAAGATGGTAAATCTTCTGTTATATAGTATTTCAGTAAAGTCTAACTAAACATATTCTGATATTCACAAATCGGTTATTAGTCTCTTTGTTCATAGAGACTCTAAAATACAAGCAAATAAAATACAAGCAAATGTTGACTAGTACTACTTTGTTCTTCTTGTTGTTGCAAAGAACACTTAGTACTAGAAATTGACATTAGCAGAGCTTTTTCTGTCTCTCCATCCATTCGTTGTTGAATCAATTTAATGAGATACTCCAAGAAAACCGAATCGAATGGCAATGTGATTGGTCCACCGGTTGAAAGGCCGAACTCTTCTTCAGAGATCTTCAAGAGCTCTTGGAAAACAGAGTTGCTCAGGTAACTTATCGGAAAAGCAAAGCGGAGTTTATCAGCTGTGTAAACCACAAAACAGCCCTTCTCTGCAGCGGTTGAGCTGCTAGCAGATGTAATTGATCTTGGAAATGAGATTCTTTTCCTGCTCAAGGCTGCTCTTTGTTGCCATTTCTTGGCCATCTTCATGATCTTCTTTGTGTTCATCATTTTCCGGGAAAAGCTTGCAAATACTGAGATCGAAATGCAAAAAAAAAAGGTACTATTTGTTTGTTGTGTTGCAGAACTCTTTGAGTTGATGCAAGTTGTTATTGATGAAAAATGCTATAAGCATTGTTGCATTATATAGAAGGGTTATTAGGTGTAGACAGGCTTTTGTGACAAGCTCCTGAGCAACCTAACCAGACACAACACATGCTTATGTTTCTGCTCTATGTGATCAATAAGGGTCCCAATTTGGTAATCAATTATATCTGCAATTCAACTTGTGGACTATACAACTTCCTGCGAGAAGACATGATCATGTGGGTATGACTAGGTAGTATGACACTGATGAAGAATGCAAGAGGCTGCTGTTACATCATCTACATAAATATAAAATTGAGTAGTTGATAACTTGTCAAGTAGATTATTCTTGGAGACAAGATTAGCCAAAGAAAAACCAAGCTCATGATTCTGCATAGCTATGTCTGTTTCGTGAGGGTCCATGTTGGTTAGTAGAACCATTAGCTAAATGAAATGTGAGTCACAAAAATTATAGGTCAAGTAGTTAATTCAGGAGACAACAAATCTGGTTGAAATCAATGATCAGATACAAAGAAAGATATGCTTGTGAAACAGAGATGAAAGGCATGTAGGTCCATAGATTCTCTCACCAGAAAAAATAGACAGTGAATCAACCATTCTTGTGCAGTATATGTGTGCCTTTTTACAGATTTCTTGTTCCAGATGGTTGATTTAAGGACATTCGATAAAACTTGGTGAGAACAATTTTACGTCTGCCTCACCATTTTTTTGATATACAGTCTCAGAATATATGTGTGCTAAAAGGAGTTGTAAAATGTCAGTAAAATGGTACAAGGATTGTTCTTCAGACCATATGATAAAACTGTGACAACAAGTGATACTGAAGTTGATTTTCATATTGATGAGGCAAGTCCAAAAGAGAGACAAAAATGATAGTTGAGTTTCTGAAATGATCTGTCTATCTAAAACAGTAGAATCTTTACAAACACATAAATTGCTACACTCTGATTCTCTAAAATACAAGCAAGTGTCTACTCTGTTCTTGCTGTTGCAAAGAGCATTGTGAAGAACATCTAGAACTACAGATTGACATTAACAGTGCCTTTTCTGTGTCTTCATCTATTCGTCGTTGGAGCAATTTGATGAGATACTCCAAGAAAATCGAGTCGAATGGTAATGTGATTGGTCCACCGGTTGGGAGACCGAATTCTTCTTCAGAGATCTTCAAGAGCTCTTGGAAAACAGAGCTGCTCAGGTAACTTATCGGAAAAGCAAAGCGGATTTTATCTGCTGTGTAAACCACAAAACATCCCTTTTCCACTACCGTTGAGCTGCTAGTAGTAGCACTTGACCTTTGGAATGAGATCCTTTTCCTGTGAAGGGCTGCTCTTTGTTGCCATTTCTTGGCCATCTTGATTAGCTTCTTTGTGTTCATTATTTTCAGGGAAAAAGTTTTTTGTTGTAATAGAAATTTGATATTGATGAGGAGAGAAAAATAATTTGTATTTCTGTGTCTATCTGATACACTATAGACTTTACATGAACATAATTTGCTACAATCTAATATACAAACAACTGTTGAGTAGTACTACTTTGTTGTAGTTGCAAAGAGCATAGTGAAGAACATCGTCTAGCACTAGAGATTGACATTAACAGAGCCTTTTCTGTATCTCCGTCCATTCGCCGTTCGATCAACTTGATGAGATACTCCAAGAAAACCGAATCGAATGGCAACGTGATTGGTCCACCTGTTGAGAGGCCAAACTCTTCTTCAGAGATCTTCAAGGGCTCTTGGAAAACAGAGTTGCTCAGGTAACTTATTGGAAAAGCAAAGCGGATTTTATCCGACGTATAGACCACGAAACAGCCCTTTTGTACTGCAGTTGAGCTGCTAGTAGTAGCACTTGACCTCTGAAATGAAATCCTTCTCCTGTGGAGGGCTGCTCTTAGTTGCCATTTCTTGGCCATCTTGATTAGCTTCTTTGTGTTCATCATCATCTTCTTGAAAAATATATTGATCGAAAAAGCACGAGAAGATTTGTAAGTTCTGTTTGTAGAGCTCTATGAAAGAAAGTTGTGAATGATGAATAATAGCATAGGCCTGATTCATTTTATAGAAGGAGAAACTACTAGGTATAGACAGGCTTTGAGACAAGCTCCTGAGCAACCTAACCAGACACAACACATGCTTCTGTTTCTACTCTACCTGGTCATAAGGGTCCCAACTTGGTAATCAATTATACCTGCCAATCAACTAGTGGACGATAAAACTTATGGTGGTGAGAAGACATGGTCATGTATATACAAGAGAAGCCAAAAATACCAAACTCGTGCTTCTCCACAGGTTGGTTAAATTAAATGTGAGTCACAAAGATATAAGATCAAGTAGTTATTCAGGGGACAACAAATCTTTTGGTGAAATCAAGGACAAAAAATTGTGGTTACAATCAATTATCAGAGTCTGAGAGATAGATAGATACAAAGAAAGGCATGTGCTGTTGAACCAAATACGAAGAACATGTAGGTCCTTAGATTTTCTCGCCAGCGAATCAACTATTCTTCCTAAAATTTCACATTTCCTTGACATAGATTAAGCTCAGATCATACAAACATCTCGTGTCTGTACTAGTTCTTGTCCATTCTTGTATAACTTCAAAGAGATTCATAGGGACAACTGATGAAATTTTTAACCACTGCACCATCTTCATGACAGAAAGTTTCAGAGCACAACAGTTACAGTAAAACGTTACAAAGGTTATGCTGAAGTTATCTCAGTTTTCTTTGTTTACAATGAAAGTTGATTTTGTTGAGACATTCTAAAAGAGAGACAAAAATAATGGTTTGTATACTGAAAATAATCTGTGTATCTAATACAGTATAATTTTACAAAACACATATCTAAATGGGTACACTATAATTTCTCTAAAATACAAGCAATAGTTCTTGTTGTTGAACAGAGCATGGTAAAGAACATCTAGCAGTAGAGATTGACATTATTAGAGCCTTTTCAGTATCTTCATCCATTCTTCTTTCGATCAATTTGATGAGATACTCCATGAAAACTGAATCGAATGGAAGCGTGATTGGTCCACCTGAGGGGAGGCCGAACACTTCTTCAGACATATTCAAGAGCTCTTGGAAAACAGAGTTGCTCAGATAACTTATCGGAAAAGCAAAGCGGATTTTATCTGCTGTGTAAACCACAAAACAACCCTTTTCTACGGCGGTTGAGCTAGTAGTAGTATTTGATCTTTGAAATGAGATCCTTCTCCTGTGGAGTGCTGCTCTTTGTTGCCATTTCTTGGCCATCTTGATTAGCTTCTTTGTGTTCATCGTTTTGAGGACAGAGATTTTAGATTGGAAAGCAAGAAGTAGAAAGAAAAGATTTGTAAGCTCTGTTGTATGTAAGTTAAGGTTGATGAGGAATCTAATAGGTGCGTTGCATTATATATAAGGAGAAACTTTTAGAGTTCTTAGAAAAACTTAGGGCAACAAAACCACACAGAACACATGCTTATGTCTTTGTTGTATGTGATCATAATGGGTCCCAAAATTAGTAATCAATCCTGACTGCTCATCAACTTCTGAAAAGACATGATCATGTGGATTTGGGTAACTGAATCGTATATTAAAATTTCAGACACAAGCACATGTGGTAGTGAAGGAAAGATGTAGAAACTTGTAGGCCTTTGATGTTCTCTAGGGAAGTTGAAACTATAAATCTGCAGAAATTTCAGTGGTTATGGACCTTATGGTAGGTTGCTGGATTTAATAATATTAACTCTATAGAATAATATTCTTTCGCGTTGTAATAGACTTGTAAATGACTAGAAATGTAGATTGAGGTTCTTTTTTACGTATACTAATTCTGAAACTTCAAAAAATTATTGTCTCAGAGATTCGTAGATTACAAGTAACTGACTACTCATTTCTTGTTGTAACAAGGATTTCATATCTCCTTAGGACAGAGATTCGTAGACTACAAGTAACTGACTACTCTATAATAACATCTACTGTTCTTGCTTAGTATTATATACCTTTACAGAGAGTCATATGGAAATTGTATAAATTGCAGTGAATGAACTTTTTAGCAGCTACACCATTTTTCGGAAAGATAGGTTGAATTGTAACAAGAAGTGGTTTTTGAATTTAGATCATTTTTCCTTCAAAATGGAACTTGATTTTGAACTTTGATGAGACAATCTAAAAGAAGAAACAAAGTAATATATAGTTTTTATTTCTGAAATTCTCTGTCTATATCTAATCCACTATAAAGTTTACATAACACAAAAATGTATTAAACTCTAAAACACAAGCAATTGTTGAGTAGTACTACTTTGTTGAACAGAACAATCTAAAGAGCATCTAGCACTAGAGATTGACATTAACAAAGCCTTTTCTGTATCTCCATCCATTCGCCGTTCGATCAATTTGATTAGATACTCCAAGAAAACCGAATCAAACGGCAAAGTGATTGGTCCAGCGATTGGTAGGCCAAACTCTTCTTCAGATATCTTCAAGAGCTCTTGAAAAACATAGTTGCTCAAGTAACTTATCGGAAAAGAAAAGCGGATGTTATCTGCCGTGTAAACCACAAAACATCCCTTCTCTGCAGCATTTGAGCTGCTAGTATACTTGATCTCTGAAATGAGATTCTTTTCCTGCTTAAGGCTGCTCTCTGTTGCCATTTCCTAGCCATCTTCATGAGCTTCTTTGTGTTCATCATTATTTTTTAGGAGAAAACTTTTATTAGATTGGAAAGCGAGAAGGGTAACAAAAAGATCGAAAGATATGTAAGTTCTGCTTGTATAAACTCTTTGAATACAAGTTATGGTTGATGAAGAGTGCAATAGGATTATTGCATTATATATAAAGAGAAGAGTATTAGAATTTAGATAACCTTAGAGCAACCAAACCAGACAGAAACACATGTTTTTGTATTTCTTGTCTGTGGCCATTAAGGGTGTCTGTGGCCATTAAGGGTCACAAGTTAGTAATCAGTCCTATCTGCTAATCAACTTGTATGTATGATTCTTGTATAATACTAGAATTTTTAGGTACAAAGACATGTGCAAATGAATGGAAGATGTTATAAGTGTAGGTCCTTTGATGTTCACAGAGAAGTTGAAATCTCTAAACCTTGCAAACAATTTCAATGATTATGGTTGGTTCGTTGGGTTCATGAATATTAATTATTTCAATTTAATTCGTTAACGATATATGATGTTGGGCCCATATATTATTCTAAAGCCCATACACTGCCAGATTCGGCCCAGGGCGTGTACATTAGCCGTTGTTTTTTTTTTCTCGGCATCGCTTCTTCAGATCTCATGAGATTCCGGTCAAGGAAACTTTAGTATCTCTGGAATCGCCGGTGAGCTCAGGTAATCTCCGATCGCCAATATCATTGTATCGTCTTGTTAAATCGTCTTTGAATTTCGTATGTGTTTGGGATCATAAGTGGCGAGATCGTTCCATTTCAGTCGCCGATGTTCTTCGAATTTCATCTAGTGGCGTCTTATACTTAGAAATTATACTGCATTTCTGTGTTCCATTCGCCTAGTATTCTACTACGTAAAAGCAGCCGATCAGGGTTAGAAATTGATATAGGATTTGCATTTTTCTCTGTGGAACGACTTGGTTTTTTCTCTGTGGAACGACTTTTTTGTTTTTTTTTTTATGTCATTATTACTTGGAAGATACGAAAATTGGGGCAAGATGCAGCACACTCCAGTTACCATAGAGGACCAGTTAATATCGAAAGCTGTAAGGGAAGAATGTCCATGGGAAAACCTCCCAAAACGACTTCATTCTATTCTTGGGTCGAAAGATGAATGGCATAGAAGGTTAGATTTTTTGTTGCTTTTTACTTTCTTGTGATGTCTGAAGACGACTTGCTTTCACTACTTTGTTAGACTTTCTTCAGCAATGAACATTTTGTGGATTTTGGTGTGAAGCTGTTTTAGACCATTTCTATTTGTTCCACCTTTGCATAGCAGTATTCTTTTTCACTGTTATTGTTCTTTGCATGCAGGGTCACTGAGCATTGTATTAAAAAAAGACTCCTATGGAATACGTGTTTTGCTTGTAAAGTTTGCAAAGAAGGTGAATACTATGAAGATATGATGCGTTACTTGCGGAAGAATCTGGCGGTGGGTGTTGATGGATAATCTCTTTAAGTGGTCTTTTTTTATTTTAATCGCGTTTTAGGAGAGAGTTATTAGCAAATCATTATTCTGTGATGGTATTCTTAAAGATAGCTATGGGCTCACACAGTTGGTACAAGTAGAGATGCTTTTTGAGATGGGAAAAAATTTTGGACAATTTTTTTCTGTTACTGTCACAAGACCTGTGATCTTAATTCCTTTTAACAATTACCTTGCAGCTGTTTCCGTATCACCTTGCGGAGTATGTATGCCGTGTGATGAGGATATCACCTTTCAGATACTACTGTGATATGATATTTGAAGTCATGAGAAATGGTATATTGTTGCTTCACTTTACAGATCCCTTTTCACTTACTTAAAGTTCTAGCCAACAATTTTTCAGTTCTCATTCCTTTTAATTTGACACAGAGCAACCATATGACAGTATCCCAAACTTCAGTGCGGCAGATGCTTTCCGGCTTACGGGCATAGGGAGAAATGAATTCATTGATATCATGAATAAATGCAGATCTAAGGTACTTTTTTTGCATCTAGACTACTGATATACTTTGCAAGTTACAGTGTTACACTCTGCAAATTTTCTATTGCTTTGACTTCCGACTCGAAGAATCTAATCCTGGGTATAATATGGATAGTCAAATATGATCATAAAGAATCACTTAAACCCGAGCCAAGAAGTGGAGGTCATTTAGCTTCTATTATGTCTTACTTTTCATACGTGTCTTGAGCTTGCCAGAAAATTATGTGGAAGCTGAACAAATCGATTGCAAAAGAGTTCTTACCTACACAACCTGTGGATTTCCCTATTGACCCTTGGTGGGGTGTTTGCCTTGTTAACTTCACGATAGAAGAGTTTAAGGTGATCAAAGCTCTTCTATATCTTTTCTGCTTCTTTCTTTTGAAACCAAATTTACTCATAGTGAACTACTTAGATGTCACTCCAATCCTACTGTTCCTTGTCTGATAGCAGATCTTAATTCGTTGTTCTTTGCATAGAAACTTTCAGAAGATGAGATGGCGACAATAGATAAAATTTGCAAAGAGGAAGCTAATGCATATGTACTCTTTGATCCGGAAGTCATAAAAGGCCTCTACCGAAGAGGATTGGTATATTTTGATGTTCCAGTCTACCAGGATGACCGTTTTAAAGGTGAGTTTATGTTTGTAGTTTTTCCCTACTTTTTTTCTTTTTAAATGTCCTTACTTCTATGTACTCCAAGGGGGGAGAATGTTGAATTTTTGCTAAGGCATCCTATTTCATGTCAGAGGGTTCCAAGACTAGATTCATAACCAGCTCTTCATATAACCAAAACTTTCCATTGCTAGCCAATACAATTTTATGTTATTTTTATTTACTTGGAACAAAGCCAGTAAAGCTCCTCAATAGTCTGCTCTCAGATTCTAATTTGCAGTCTCGCGAGACTAAGAATTTCACTGACATGCATCTATTGCATCCCTGTTTCAGTTTCAAAGCTTGAAGGGTTCATATCCAACAGAGAGCAGTCGTACGAAGATCCTATTGAAGAGTAAGGGAACTATTAGGCTACATGGAAGCTTATCTCATTTTGGATTTAGTTTTCTTTGAGATTATTTATGAGTCTAATAGCTGCTACTTCATTTCGCAGATTACTCTATGCAGTTTTTGTTGTTTCAAATGAGAACTCAACAGTTGCAGAACTGGCATCCACTTTGCAAGCTGACCTAGCTCAGTTACAGGCTGCTGCATCTTTTGTTTGCCGGTTGGGATGGGCTGTGAAGTTAATTGATCCGGCTTCTGTGCTTCATGACAAGATTATGCCAGAGTCTCCTCGTGCCATCCTCAGTGATGAAGAAGCTGCATCTCGTGCTGGTTTAGGCTTTACTTACATGTCTGCTGATGGTGAGACAGCTCAACATGGCGATAATTTAGGGGCAGAAAGCTCTGGATCACGTTCTAGTCATGTTCGGGTTGCTTTCATAGTTGATGCTAATATAACATCGTATCTAATGATGGGTTCTGTGTCGCCAGGTATCATTTCGTAGTTCCATTTGATGCCCCGCTAATAACAATTAACAGCCCATGAATTTCATATCTTTGTAAAAGGATCACTTTTTGAAATATTCTAATAGATTCCATTCATGCTAATGACTGTTATAGGATTGAAATCTCATGCGGTAACACTCTATGAAGCGGGAAAACTCGGGCATACTAGTATCCCGGACCTTTGCCAGGATTTGAGCACATTAGAGGGAGCAAAATTTGAGGGTGAACTGCAAGAATTTGCAAATCATGCCTTTAGCCTTCGTTGTGTCCTGGAATGTTTGATATCTGGTGGAGTTGCTACTGATACAACAGTTGATACGATGGGTTCGGGAACTTTGAGCAATGAGGAGGCTGTGACTCTTCTTGCAGATGTTACTTTTCCTGATAATTCGGGAGATTCTTTAACCAGCCAAAATAGTGAGGCTTCGATGGTTTCAGATGCCCCTCAGGGGGATCCCTTGATAACAGAACGTGTCCCTGAAAGCCCTGAGCATGAAGCAGCTTCAACGACACTTTCCGTTGATACTACTGCCTTGACTGAGACCTTCAGTTCTAACCTAAGCCTTCAGGATGCCGGAAAGCCAATCCCCATAGAAGGACCCGAGACCGGTAAAGGAAACAAAAAAAGGAAGAGATATCGCGTTGATATTCTCCGTTGTGAAAGTCTGGCTTCTCTAACACCAGCTACTCTAAATCGTCTGTTTTCCCGTGACTACGATATTGTTGTTTCAATGATTCCTCTCCCACTTACGACTGTTCTACCTGGACCTTCAGGGCCCGTTCATTTCGGTCCTCCCTCCCATTCATCCATGACACAGTGGATGAAACTGGTATTGTATTCAACCGTAGGCACTGGGCCTTTGTCGGTTATCTTGATGAAAGGGCAGTGTCTGAGGATGCTTCCTGCTCCACTAGCTGGCTGTGAGAAAGCTCTCATTTGGTCTTGGGATGGATCTTCGGTTGGTGGGTTAGGAAACAAGTTTGAAGGTAACTTGGTCAAGGGAAATATACTCCTCCACTGTTTAAATTGCCTTCTCAAGTGTTCTGCTGTTCTCGTTCAGCCTCTCAGCAAGCATGATCTTGATAGCTCTGGAAGAATTGTTACTTTAGATATACCATTACCCCTGAAGAACTCTGATGGTTCCATTCCTCATTTCGGCGACGAGCTTGGACTTCCCCTTGAGGAAAATACAAAGTTGAACTCTCTATTAACTAAGCTGGCGAACAACATGGAATTGTGGACAGTCGGTTACATTCGCCTTTTGAAACTCTTTAAAGCAAAGGATTCGTCAGGCCACTTTTCTCCGGACGATGATGAGAAGTATGAATGGGTCCCTTTAACTGTGGAGTTTGGTCTGCCACTTTTCAGCCCAAAGTTATGCAACAATATCTGCAAAAGAATCGTCTCATCACAGTTACTTCAAGCTGATTCGCTCATGGAACAACACGATGCAATGCAATGCATAAGGAAAAGGTTGAAGGATATATGTGCACAGTACCAAGCAACAGGTCCAGCTGCTAAAATTCTTTACCAGAAAGAACAAGCAAAAGAGGCTCCTCGTAGTAAGCTCATGAACTACGCAAGCGGAAGGTGGAATCCACTCGTGGACACTTCCTCACCAATATCTGGTGCCACTAGTGAATTTCAACGGTTGAAACTAGCTAATCGCCAACGTTGCCGGACAGAAGTTCTGAGCTTCGATGGCAGCATCCTTAGGTCAGTTTAGTTCCTTCCATGTTTTACGAACTTTGTTTTTTTCTTTTATCGGTTTTTGAGGTGTTTTGGGGTGGTCACAGATCCTACACCCTGAGCCCTGTCTATGAGGCAGCCACAAGAACCATCGACGAGAATGCACCTTTAACCACAACAAAGACAGATGCTGAAGAAGCAGAGAGCCGAGAAGTGACTCTTCCAGGACTGAACCTTCTCTATGATGGTTCGGAGTTGCACCCTTTTGACATTGGTGCTTGCCTTCAGGCTCGTCAACCAGTTGCTCTTATAGCAGAAGCTGCTGCTGCATCTGCAATCCTTGCCCCAAAGTAAACTAGACTCTATCCAAATCTCATAGGGACAACAAGTGAATATCAACACTGATATTTCCAATCTTATCCGTCTTCAAAGTCCAATAGTCAGTTGTATTACTAGGATCTAGCTCTGGGCATTCCTTTTGTATCTGCATATAAATTTTGGTGTGGGCATTCAGTTATCTCGGTTTTACAAATTCATGACCAAATAAAATCCAATTTTTTTTTGGTTTTATGCAATTTCGGTATGAAATTTGTTTGATTTGATGCAACTCTGAAACAAAATGTTGATTCTACGACATGCACTACCTTTTGACCGCTTCCCAAAGATTCTTGTGTTGTTTTGAATCTCTTCTTTGTTCTTGCAATAATTAGAATCAGAGTTTTTTGGGTGTTTAAGACAAGAGCAAAAACTCATTATAAGTTTACACTTTTGAGAATTGTCTAGTATACAATTTTCTTCAATGCGAAAAAAGGGACATAGATATTTGGACTAATACAAGTAATAATCAATGTGATCATATAAGAAAAAACTTAAGTCATAAAACTATATTTAACCCACACTCTTCTTGGTTTCCTTGATCTCAAGCTATTGCCGACTTGATTGTCTCGGCCTCTGTAGGACGCCACCATGATTTCTGAACAGAGAGCAATCCTTCTCCATCTTTGGAATGTGTCATTCTTACATTCCATTTCATCGATTTCACCATCTTCTCAATTTCTCCTATCGTTTCCATGTCATCTCTTACTATGAAAGTTCCTTGTGGTCTAAGAATTCGGTCCACTTCAGCCATTACCGACACCAAGCTGCACCTAAAGGATTTTGTTTATATACAAATGGTCATCAGATTTTGCTATCAAGAAATACCAGAAAAGCGGAGAAGATGCATATATGTGAGTGTATCCGTGCATATATTTACCTCTTCTTTAGTGCAGAGAAAAGATGATCAGCATGAAGAAGGTCGTAAGTTCGAGGGTAAGTGCTGAATGACTCACACCAATCATGATAGATTCCAAACAAACCACGTTCATATATAATTGGAAGTGTATCGGGTGAGTCGATGGGAACTACATTCATCACCCACAGTTTCATATCCTTCAACGCAGCAGCAAAACTGATACCCACAAAGAAGAGAGATAGAGATAGTCAGAAACTAATAAATAGAGCCAGCTTTGCTTTTGATGAAAGATTTTTGCTTACTTACCCTCCATAGACTGCTCTCATGTCCATCACATTTCTCACATAAGACCAATCGATTCCCATACCGTTGAGGTATGATTTTGAAACGATAGATTTCCAACGTTTATGGTCTGCAGTGAAATCCTCTTGTGCAGGTTTTCCATATACACCTTCTTGAGAATCCAACCACTGAGGAGCAGTTTCTACTCTCTCTGGCCAATTTTCAGGCCAAACTGCTCCACGTTTTGATGAATCTTCTGTCACTTTGTGCATACATGCCTCAAGTGGAACATTCCTGCGTCAGATTCACATATAATTTAGGAACAGAATTCCATTGGATTACTCGTTAATTGTCATATGATGTGAGAAGGGACATAGATAAACTACCAAGCAGCATTTTGATCATCGGAGTCTTTGCAGAGAGGTGGCTCGTTTTGAGATCTTTTGTTGTAGCATTTATTCGACATTGGCTTTTGGTAAATGGCAGCACCAACTTCATTTAGTTCATCTTTCTTAATCGTCATCAGTTTCCAGCACATTGCCTTTGTTAGCTCCGACATAGCTACAAAACAGAGAAGCATCTCAGAAGTTAAGTTAAAAACCAATTGCCATAGCCTTTGTTCATGTCCAAAGCAAAAGGGAATATATTTTCTAAACCTTTCCATATGCCAACGTCTTCTTCGGTCTTCCTGTAAACTGGAGTTGCCGACCAGACAAAGAACCCACCAGGCCTCAATGCACGATTCAATTCCAAAAGTAATTTACCACCTTCAGATCAAACAACAACAAAAAAAGGAAGAATAACCGTTATTCAGTGAACCAAAGTACCAACGCATACTATAAGATGGGAAGCTTTTTACCTTCAATATGCCAAGGGACTCTACAACGAGCACAATGGATAAGGTCGAAAACAGATCCTGGAAAAGGTAATCTCTTGGTTCCCATAACGTTTGACATTGCAGGAATACCACGTTCCAAAGCAAATTGCACCTGCGCCTCGTGTTCATCTTTGGGTGCAAATGACAAAGCAAGCACATCTCTGTCAAAAAGATATCCCCCAAAGCTAGCAACCCCACACCCAACATCCAATATAACACGGGTTCTATTTCCCCACGCAATATCAGGATATGACTGCAAAAAGAACATATGATAATGACGTCAAGAGTCAAAATGAGAGAAGATGTGTAGACAATTGAATGAAAGATCGGTAGAGAGTTGTACCTGTTGGAGGAAATCAATGTAGTGAAGAGCACCGTTCTTGAACTGAGTACCCCCACCAGGGAATGTTAAGTATTCACCACTCATCTTCACCCAGTTTTGATGTCCCTTGACTTCTGCAAGCTTTGTGTGAGGAATGTTGTTGTACCAGATCTGTGGCAACACAAAACAGAAGAATTAACAAAAACACTGATCAAGAAACATTACGAAGCTGAAACAGGCTATATTAGGTTTTTACCTTTTCTCTGCTCTTAGGCCACTTGATGGATCGCTTATAACCTTCGGGAAGAGAAACAAGGCAGCGTGGAGATTCCTCGGGACAATGCCTCTCACGATGCTCATAATGCTTTGTCGAATGAAGCTTTCTAATAGCTTCCCAATTGTCAAGACAAGGGATGTAGTCTGGTCCAGCTGTCACATTGCAGACTTTCCATTTAATCGAGGAAACTTGTGCTTTCTTCTCGTTCTGCGATTCAACCAATTGGGTTGACCAAGCCCCACTTCCAGTGCTCGACTCCTTTGTAATTTCAGCCTGGTCACCAGCTGGGAAAACATCCTTACTCTTCTCAGTGCTCTCTTCAGTTTCTTCAGACTTCTTCTCGGTGTTTTCTTCAGATTCACCAGCATTTTCTTCGGTCCCATTGCCATCCTCAGATTTGTTTTCTTCCGAGCTCTCTTCTAGTTGTGTCTTCTCTTTTTGCTTCGCTTCATCACTTTCTGACTCCGTGTCTTTCTCACCCTCTCCATCTTTTCTATCACCATCACCATTTTTGTCATCAAATTCCTTTTTTTCCTCAACCTGCTCTGTTTTCTCACCAGAGTTCTCCTCAGAAGATTTCTCAGGGTCAGGCTTCTCTTCGTTGCTCTCTGTCACAACCTCCGTTTCCTCACTCTTGGAATCTCGATCATTCTCTTTGTCAGTGAAATCACTCTTGGTAGTAGTTTCCACATCTTTTGTAGTCTCGGTTGCAGAGAAGTCAACGGACTCAGTTGGGGCAGACCATGAAGACATGAACATCCACGCTCCAACCAAACAGAGAGAAACAAATAAAACTATGGTAATGGTTAAGCCATAGCCTGATGACTTCTTCCCGTCTACACGAGAATATTTCCCCATTGCCATGTTTCTAAACCCACGGCACAGTCCCTAGTCACATGCACCTGCAAAACCAATCATAAAGACTTTTAGTGACTAGTATTGACTAACTACAGAATTGATTATCAAAACAGTCTACACAGTATTGACTAATCTACTCTCATTACTCGAGAAGGTGAAACTGCTTGTTTATTGAAGATTTGTTTAAAACGGGTTAAGTCGAATTCCTGAGCTTAAGCAGATGATATGATACTAAAAAAGATGCAAAACAACACAGATCAGCGAACACATAATTGCAGATCTAAAAATCAAACTAAAATCTACAAAACACTCGATATATAACTTAAACCAATAGATCATTAGCCCAAACCCAAATGACAGCACTTTAAGCAAAACTAAGAGCAAACATCAGCTAAGAAGTAAGGAGCTAATCAAAGAAAAGATCCTAGATTTCAGAATCTTGCATTCACAGAAATACCCAGAAGCAATAACATTTGAAGAAAGCGAGAGAGAGAGAGTCTGAAAGAAGCTGCTGTATTTGAAGTAAAAAGATTACCAGATAAAGGGGTTTAGCTCAGATTTCCCGAAAGATAGCAACTTTATGAGCAGAGTTAAGAAAGTAGAGAAATTTCCAGATCGGGATCTAGTAGAGAGAGCGAGAGTATACCAGAGCAAGTGGTGAAGCAAATCATAGTACTTACGGTGTGTTAAAATACCAGAATTTGGATCTGATTTCCACCGAATTAATTTATTTTGCTATTTTTTAAAAACAAAACTAGATTTTAACCCCGTGCGGATATTTTATTTTTTTATTTTTAATATAAGTTGCATTTATTTTTTTTGTTTAGATATAATTTATTTTTGTTATTTATTTTTTTAAATCAAAAAATTGTTATCATATTTTAATTTTAAACAGTAAAATTTGTATATTAGTAGAATAATAGTATATGTTAATTAAGTATACATTGATCTAATGTTAATTATAAATTTTGTAATTATGTGAATTTAAATTTACACATAAACAATCTATATATCTATGAATTTGCTAATACATCCATTTAGTTGTCTTAAATCATTTTTAATATTTTACATGTTTTGACAAACTAACCCGTATAAGACTATAATTATAATTGTATAACCCTATAAATATTTACTAATATGGAATATTTGGACCAATTAATTATGAAAAATATAATAAGATATTTATTTACTATTTGTGTTATTAAAAAATATATATATATATAAACGGACTAACTTGTTAGTTTAATTGTCTCAAATCATCTTAATATCTTATATGTTTTGATAAATTAACTCATAGACCTTAAATATATATATATATATATGTAATTCTAATCAGCTCGATTATATTATTGTATAATATAAATATTTATTAATCTCAAATATTTAATATTTTAGACCGATTGTTTATGATAAGTATGATAAAATATTTATCAACTATGCATTTTTATAAAAATATTATTTAAATTTAAAATTTTAAATTAAATCTTTTCTGTATTTAAGAAATTCTAAAGTATTAAAATTATTATCTAAATTTGCGTAATAAATTTTAATTTTATTTTTTTTGGAATTTTTTGAATTTAAATTAAATTGAATGCAAATTTTTGTAACTAAATTTAATTAAATTTCTAATAATTTGAAATTTAAATTGAAGATGATCTAGATTATAGGAAATTTAAAAATATCTAAATTAATAACTAATTTTCGGAAATTAAATATAAAAATAAAATAAAATACTACAAAAAAAATTTTAGAGTATTTGGATGCAAGCATTAAATGTGTTTTTGTTTTAATAGAATAGATTGACAAATTTAAGCCTTGCAAAATTTGATTGATTTGTTAGTTAAATTCTCTAATCCCGCGTCGGTCACCGACATATAGCAGCAGCTAGACAAGACTCTTGAAGGAATTTTTTTAGTTCGCTGAAACTGAAAGGAACTCAGATACGGCCCATTGGGCTTATATTTGCTAATTTACATTAGCCCATTTTAAGAATTTTAGGTTCATTTCCGTTTCAAAAGCAAAAACTATGACCCAATTACAGTATTTTTGTTTATCTGATTTGATTCTCTGAGAGGTTCCATTTACATTGATGAAATCTATTTTTTCATGTGGTCACGACCGTTGAGTTTAATCACATCTTGAATTCCACAGTGAATTAATTGGAACAGCTTGGATGCGAATTCATTGACGATCAAGTCAGTTGTTTGAACTAGTTCAAATAGTTGTCAAGAAGCCACTACTTTGATAAATGTCATTCTGTCTTGGTGTGTATATTTGATCGAGTTTCATTGCAACGGTTAAGTCTTTTATTTGCAAAGTTAAAATCCTTTGTAGAGTTAAACCTTGAATTTCTAGAGGAACGACCTTTGAACCATATTTACAAGTCTATTACACCTGAATTTCAAGGACCTACCACTGAAATTTCTTTCAGGTTTAACTTCTCTGTGAACATCAGAGGACCTACTAGTTCTACATCTTTCATTCATTTGCACATGTCTTTGTGACGTCTAAATATTGTCATTTCTAAGATTCATACCCACATGGTCATGTCTTTTCAGCAGATGTTTTTAATCCACAAGTTGATGAGCAGTCAGGATTGGTTACTATCTTTGGGACCCTTTATGATCACATACAACAAAGACAGTAGCATGTGTTCTGTCTAATATCGTTGCTCTAAGTTTATCTAAACTCTATTTCCTCTTATATATAATCTAACAAGCCTATTGGATTTTTCATCAACCATAACTTGCATTGAAAGAGTTATACAACACAACTTACAAACACCTTTTACAAACACCTTTTGCTTTCCAATCTTACAAAACAAAAAAATCTTCCCTAAAAAATAATGATGAACACAAAGAAGCTCATGAAGATGGCCAGGAAATGGCAACAGAGAGCAGCCTTAAGCAGGAAGAGAATCTCATTTCATAGATCAAGTACTAGTAGTAAATCAACTGCTGTAGAGAAGGGCTGTTTCGTGGTTTACACGGCAGATAAAATCCGCTTTGCTTTTCCGATAAGTTACCTGAGCAACTATGTTTTCCAAGAGCTCTTGGAGATCGCTGAAGAAGAATTTGGCCTCCCCACGGAAGGACCAATCACGTTGCCAGTTGATTCGGTTTTCTTGGAGTATCTCATCAGATTGATCGAACGAAGAATGGATGGAGATACGGAAAAGGCTCTGTTAATGTCAATCTCTAGTGCTAAATGTTCTTCGCAGTGCTATTTTCAACAACAAGAACGATTGCTTGTATTTTAGTAAATTAGAGTGTAGCAATATCTGTATTTGTAAAGATTCTAGTGTATTAGATTAGACAGAATATTATTTCAGATAGAAACCAATATTTTTGGCTCTCTTTTAAGAATGTCTCATCAAAATCAAATTTCATTGTAAACACAGAAAACTGAGATAACTTCACCATTATGACGTTTTACTCTAACTGTTTTTCTCTTAAACTTTCTGTTATAAAAAAATTCATTCAAAGCAACTCATCTTTTTGAAGTTAACAAACACATTTCCATTGATGTTTGTCAAGGTAATGGAAATTTTAGCAGGAATAGTTGATTATGATCTACATGCTCTTCCTCTTTGATTCAACAGCACATGACTTTCTTTGTATATATCTATCTCCCTGTCTCTGATCATTAATTTTAACCACAATTTTTTGGCTTCTCTTGTAGCCTCCTCTTGCATTCTTCGACTTTCATTAAAGTCATAGTACCAAAATGTTGTCATTAAAATTTTATATAGCTTTCATACCCACATGATCATGTCTCCTAACCATAAGTTTTATAGTCCACAAGTTAATTGGCAGGTATGATTGATTACCAACTTGGGACCCTTATGATAAGGTAGAGTAGAAACAGAAGCATGTGTTGTGTCTGGTTAGGTTGCTCAGGAGCGTGTCTCAAAGCCTATCTAAACCTAATAGTTTCTCCTTCTATAAAATGAATCAGGCCTCTGGTATTATTCATCATTCAAAACTTTCATTCATAGAGCTCTACAAACAGAACTTACAAATCTTCTTGTGATTTTTCGATTAAAATAATCTTTCAAGAAGATGGTGATGAACACGAAGAAGCTAATCAAGATGGCCAAGAAATGGCAACAAAGAGCAGCCCTCCACAGGAAAAGGATCTCATTTCAGAGGTCAAGTGCTACTGCTAGCAGCTCAACTGCCGTAGAGAAGGGCTGTTTCGTGGTTTATACGTCAGATAAAACCCGCTTTGCTTTTCCAATAAGTTACCTGAGCAACTCTGTTTTCCAAGAGCTCTTGAAGATCTCTGAAGAAGGGTTTGGCATTCCAACAGGTGGACCAATCACGTTGCCATTCGATTCGGTTTTCTTGGAGTATCTCATCAAGTTGATCGAACGGCGAATGGACGGAGATACAGAAAAGGCTCTGTTAATGTCAATCTCTAGTGCTAGATGTTTTTCACAATGCTCTTTGCAACTACAAGAACAACAAAGTAGTAGTACCCAACAATTGCTTGTATATTAGATTGTAGCAAATTATGTATGTGTAAAGTCCAGAGTGTATTAGATAGAAACAGAAATACAGTTATTGTTTTTGTCTCTCATCATCAAAAACATCTTGACATCTTCTATTGCAAACAAGAAACCTGAGAAACTTCAGTATCACTTGTGGTTGCACTTTGCTCTAAAAATTTCTGAAGAACAATTTTCAAAACAAATTCACTATAATGTTTTACAACTTTTCTTAAGACATGGTACAACTGCTTAAAGTTTCATTCCCCGAGATTCCTCCAATGCCCTTATGATTCTCTAAATATTAATATACAAAGGAGGCGTTCCTATGATCTGAACTTAATCTATGGACTTATCTACATGGTCATCATTTTTCTTCTTCATTATTACCTTTCCTTTTTGTCTAGCTCACAGAAAATCTATAGAGAAGCATGAGTTTTATCGAATGTCCTTACATCAACCATCTGGAACAAGAAAATCTGTGAAAAAGCATACATAGACTGCACAAGAAACGTTGATTCACTGTCTATTTTTCTTGTGAGAGAATCTATGGACCTACATTCCCTTCATCTCTGCTTCACAAGCACATGTCTTTCTTTGTATCTGATCATTGATTTTAACCAGATTTGCTGTCCCCTGAAATAACTACTTCACCTATAATTTTTGTGACTCACATTTCATTTAGCTAATCTACTAACCAACATGGACCCTTACGAAACAGACACAGCTATGCAGAATCATGAGCTTGGTTTTTCTTTGGCTAATCTTGTCTCCAAGAATTATCTACTTGACAAGTTATCAACTACTCATTTTATATTTATGTAGATGATGTAACAGCAGCCTCTTGCATTCTTCATCAGTGTCTTACTACCTAACTCTTGTCATATAAATGTTTATTTAGAAGTCATAGTCATACCAACATGATCATGTCTTCTCGACGGAAGTTTTATAGTCCACAAGTTGATTTACAGACATAACTGATTACCAAATTGGGACCCTTATTGATCACATAGAGTAGAAACATAAGCATGTGTTGTGTCTGGTTAGGTTGCTCAGGAGCTTGTCACAAAAGCCTGTCTAAACCTAATAACCCTTCTATATAATGCAACAATGCTTATACCATTTTTCATCAATAACTTGCATCAACACAAAGAGTTCTGCAACACACAACAAATAGTACCCTTTTTTTTGCATTTCGATCTCAATATTTGCAAGCTTATCCAGGAAAATGATGAACACAAAGAAGATCATGAAGATGGCCAAGAAATGGCAACAGAGAGCAGCCTTAAGCAGGAAAAGAATCTCATTTCCAAGATCAATTACATCTGCTAGCAACTCAACCGCTGTAATGAAGGGCTGTTTCGTGGTTTACACGGCGGATAAAGCACGCTTTGCTTTTCCGATAAGTTATCTGAGCAACTCCGTTTTCCAAGAGCTCTTGAAGATCTCTGAAGAAGAGTTCGGCCTCCCCACTGGTGGACCAATCACATTGCCATTCAATTCGGTTTTCTTGGAGTATCTCATCAAATTGATCCAACGACGAATGGATGGAGAGACAGAGAAAGCTCTGCTAATGTCAATCTCTAGTGCCAAGTGTTCTTTGCAACAACAAGAACAACAAAGTAGTACTAGTCAACATTTGCTTGTATTTTAGTGTCTCTATGAACAAAGAGGCTAACCAATTTGTAAATATCAGATATATGTTTAGTTAGACTTTACTGAAATAATAAAAGATTTGCCATCTTTATTTACGAAACCAAAGATCCAAGAAAAAAGTTCTTCATGTTAGAGCAGAGAAACAATCAGACTGCCGTAGTTAAGTTAATTATATTTCAGAACTGATACAATCAGAGTCTTGCAAAGCAAAAATCAAGAGAAAAGATATTGGGAAATTGGTAGATTTATTGTGAATTAACATAACTTGAAAAGATATTTACATTAAACTGATTTCACCAAAGAAGTAACATAAAATACAACATAAACAATGTAGATACTACACTGAGTCGATGGTTCTTTAATCTTCTTATCAGAAGATTATCCAAAAGAAAAACCACATCCACACAAGAGAACCAGCAAAGCCCCTGCAAAAGAACAATACAAAAGATACAAGATGATACCAACAACACGAAGCTAACAAAAGAAGATAAAACCAAAAAACGACTAAAAGATAATATGTGGATATAAACAGGTAAATAAGTAACAGGTAGCTTAGGTAATAAGAAGCTAACAGTGTCGCAAAGGCCTGTTCGTTCACTTTCTGCCTCTGAAAAACGAAACATCCAACTACAATTGATATAACTTTGGACATCAGATACCATAGGCAAATCTCTAACACAACACAAAACCGATTCAAATATTTGAGAACAATCTGCAATCTCAGCCGAAAGATGGTGATCTAGTGTTTAATAATCATGGATAATCATTGACTTGGACATAATTTTCATCATTGATTGCAGAGAACTGAACCAAGTAGATTGAAAACAAAAACAATGTATGGAAGAGGTCAGATGGTAGTGCATGTCTAAGTATCAACACTGAATTTCAGATTTGCAGACGTATGGTTATATAATCCTCATTCCTCCAATTTCAAACCATAAAAAACAGAACTTTCGAAAAAAAAAAACAGAATCTTTATAATAATAATACATAAACCAATCATTGAATTTGGATCAGAGAATATGGCACATCACTCACTCTGCAGAAGCAGATCAGACTGGGTGTCACAAAACAAAAATGCCATTTCATCACTTCCAATCGGAAAAAAGAAAAAAACTCAAGATCAAAACATATAAGAAATTTAGAGAATCAGACATAAAATAGTCAATCACCATATTACATCCGTCGCAACGAATGCAAGTAAGACTGGGGCGACAATTTCTAATCATCACTTTCGTTGAATTGAAATAGATGAACGAAGGTAATCAAGATAGAGGAGAAGAAGATTCGCAGATGATAAGCGAAGAACTGAAGAAGAAGAAGAAGAATAATAAACCCTACAAAGAAGGATTTGGGGGTTTTGTTCGAGTCTCTGTGGAGTTAGGCTAGGGCTTTGCCATTATATAGAAAACAGGTACAGCTTACGAGGGTATTCCGGTTTAGCTCGGTTTAATTTAATTAAAATCGGTATTCCGAATTTCTTAAGGTTTTGGCGGGGTTTTTCTTGAGAAGTGACAACATAAGAGGACCCATCTTCATTTCTTTCACCTCCAAAATGTCTTTGTAAAATGATTTTTTTTCAAACGTAAAAGGACAAACAATTTCTACATCTTTCATTCATTTGCACATCGTCTTTGTACCTACATATTTCTTATAATATATTTTTATACCCACATGGTCATGTCTTCTTCTTAGTTCTCACTATATATTGTATATAAATCCACAATTTGATTTCCAGATGGGATTGGTTACCCAACTTGGGACCCTTTTGTGTTTTGATCACAGACAAGAAAAAGAGAAGCATGTGTTTCTGTCTGGTTTGGCTTTGCTTTCCCTCTAAATCCTATTAATACTCCTTCTATATAATGCAACAAAGCTTATACCATTCTTCATCAATCACAACTTGCCTTAACTCAAAGAGTTCTGCAACACAAACTTACAACTAGTATCTTTTTGCTTTCTGATTTGCAAGCTTTTCTCAGAAAATGTTAAACACAAAGAAGATCATGAAGATGGCCAAGAAATGGCAACATAGAGCAGCCTTGAGCAGGAAAAGAATCTCCTTTCAGAGATCAAGTACTACTAGCAAATCAACTGCTGTAGAGAAGGGCTGTTTCGTGGTTTACACAGCAGATAAAATCCGCTTTGCTTTCCCAATAAGTTATCTGAGCAACTCTGTTTTCCAGGAGCTTCTGAAGATCTCTGAAGAAGAGTTTGGCCTCCCAACCGGTGGACCAATCATGTTGCCATTTGACTCAGTTTTCTTGAATTATCTCATCAAGTTGGTCCAACGAAGAGTGGATGGAGATACGGAAAAGGCTTTGATATTGTCAATCTCTAGTGCTAGATGCTCTTTACATTGTTCTTTTGAACTGCAAGAACAACAAAGTAGTATTACTCCACAATTGCTTGTATTTTAGAGTTTTAGAAAAATTATTTGTGCTTTGTAAAGTTTATAATGGATTAGATAGACAAGTTATTTCAGAAATACAAACTATTATTTTTTTCTCTCATCAAAACCAACTTCAATTGCAAACAAAAACAAATGACCTAATTTCAATACCAGTAGTGGCCACAGTTTCATATAAATTTTTGAAGAACAATCTTCTAGACGTTTCACTGAAACCGTTTTGCAGCTCATTTTGAGACATATTTACTCTGCAAACGTTTCAATTCAATAAGATTGCGTGCCTTTTTCAGATAGCCGTATGTACATTCTGTGAGTCGAATTGAACAAACTTCAAGTTCCAATTATGTTGCTATAGAGGATAAACTTGGGAAAATAATGAAGAACAAGAAAAAGTTCTAGCCTACGTACTTAGTTAGAATTATTTGCAAAGATTTAAGTTCTTCTCTCTACAACATTTACCAAAACATAGTTTAAAAATTATCCACCCCTTAAATATAATATTTCCTAAAATTTTATAGATTCATCACTGACAAAAGGGTAACAGAGGAGTGGCGTTTTAAACTTCAATCTATGAAACTTTTTCTATTCATTTACCTTTTCTTTGATTGGTGAACAAGTATTCAAGGACGAAGACAATTCTGAATCACAGAAATTAATATTCAAAGAACCCACTAACCTACCATAACCACTACATTTTCTCGAGGTTTCAACTCCTCTGAGAACATCGAAGGACGTCTAACATCTTTAATTTACTTGCACATGTCTCTGCATCTAAATATTGTTAACTGTATATTAATACAAGAATTATACCCACATGGTTTTTGTCTTCTCTCCAGATGTTTCAATCCACAAGTTAGCAGATATGATTGATTTCTAACTTGGGACCCTTGAGACAAGAAATACAGAAGCATGTGTTGGGTTGCTCTAAGTACGTTCATCTAAGCTGTAGTAGTCTCTCCTTATATATAATGCAACAATCCTATTGCATTCTTCATCACTCACAACTTGCATCCAGAGAGTTCTACAAGAAGTTAACAATCTTTTTCTTTTTTGCGTTCCTTTCTGTAAAATATTTTCCCTGAAAATAATGGTGAATACAAAGAAGCTAATCAAGATGGCCAAGAAATGACAACAGAGCGCAGCCCTCCACAGGAAAAGAATCTCATTTCAGAGATCATTTCAGAGATCTGTAGCTCAACCGCTGCAGAGAAGGGCTGTTTTGTGGTTTACACAGCTGATAAACTCCGCTTTGCTTTTCCGATAAGTTACCTGAGCAACTCTGTTTTCCAAGGGCTCTTGAAGATCGCTGAAGAAGAGTTTGGCCTCCCCACGGAAGGACCAATCACCTTGCCATTCGATTCGATTTTCTTGGAGTATCTAATCGGTCGAAAGAAGAATGGATGGAGATACCTAAAAGGCCCTGATAATGTCAATCTCTAGTGCTAAGTGTTCTTTACAATGTTCTTTGCAACAAAAGGACAGAGTAATCAACAATTGCTTGTATTCTAGAGTTTCCAAAGAGAACATATAGATTTTTTTGTAAAGATTCAGATTAATTTTTGTTTACTTTATACTACACAAAAATTACTTTTTTTCTCTATTTGAAGAGGGGAAACTGGATTTGAAGTACAAAAATTACTTTTGTTCCGAAATGGTTTTCGGTTGCTCCATCTTTAAGTTTAGGGTTTCCCTCAAAACAAAATAAAAAAAAATAAACGAGGAAGAATTACTAAGATGCTATTTGGATATTAAATTAATGTACCAACGAAAAAAAAATCTGTTATTTCGCCAAAATTATTGAGAACTGTTTAAGAAGAAGTACCATGTCTCAACTGGATAAAAAGCAATTAATAAGGAGACATACAAACTGCCAAAGAATCTAGCTTTTGTCTTCTGTAAGATCATCTTAAAAAACTATTGAAAAATTGGACAATACTTTCTACAAGTACAAAGAGCAAAGCCAAGAATCTTGGGTTTTATGAATTTTGCCTTCAACTTGAAGCTATGAACTTTACAACTCTCTAATAAACCTTTCTTTATCACCAGCAGCCTTAACAAGAAAAGAACAATGCAAGATAGTATATAAAGTAAGCTTCATTATGCCTCATTCAAAACAATAAGATCAAAACTAATTAACTTTCCTCAATCTTCTTTTTTCTTCTCTCTTCTCTCCCGGTTTTGTAGTTTTTCAAAAGGCGAAAATGGCGGGTGAGCAAATGAAACCTGTTGCTTCTCTACTTCTGGTGTTGAACTTCTGCATGTATGTGATTGTTCTAGGGATTGGAGGATGGGCCATGAACCGAGCCATCGACCATGGTTTCCAAATCGGTAAAGAACACGATCAAACTTCTGACTCATCTCCAATGATGGTTTGGTTGGTTTATGGTATTTTCTTTGTTGTTCTTTAACTTCTAACATTTCGGGTTCTTTTGAAAACGAATTATGAGCAGGCCCTGATTTCAATCTTCCAGCACATTTCTCCCCAATTTATTTTCCGATGGGAAACGCAGCCACAGGATTCTTTGTGACATTCGCGTTACTGGCGGGAGTAGTTGGTGCGGCTTCCACAATCTCAGGCCTTAGCCACATTCGTTCTTGGACCGTGGGAAGCTTGCCGGCTACAGCCACTGCTGCAACTATTGCATGGACCCTCACACTCCTTGCCATGGGGTAATAATAATAAAACTATATTGGCCTCTCTCTCGAAAACACATCCTTGTTTTTGAGACATTGATGATAAAGACTAATCATTCTTTCATCAACAGATTCGCATGGAAAGAAATCGAGCTTCACGTGCGAAATGCAAAACTGGTGAGACTTGTCTCTGCTATTCCCAAATCTTATAGATTCAATTTTGGAAAACCCACAATTTATTGACTTCATGTTCACTCTCCCTTTCTGTGTCTTCTTCTCTGTAGAGAACCATGGAGGCGTTCTTGATCATACTCTCAGTCACACAGCTTCTTTACATTGCCGCTGTTCACGGCGTGAGGAGACCTTCTTAAGGAATCATGGGCTTTTCGGTTTTTTTTTTTCTCTTATGTATCAATCATCCAAAACTTGGGATTGAGTGTGTGAGTGTTTGTGTGTGTGTGAGTTTATTTTCATAGGAAGTCGATAAATTCATGCATTCTTTGTGTACAAAAGGATCCGATCTTGTTTTATGTGTGTGTCACTTTGTGTTCATGGAATAAAATCAAACTTTGAGGCTTCAAATGGATCACACCTCTACATATATCTAATGAACTAGATAGAGAAGAAGATAAATAAAAATTGTGGTAATTGATAAAAGAAAATAGAGCTATATAAATTTAGTCTCATGAATCTAAAATCCATTTAATGAACAAATGAAGACTGTAATTCAAAAAGAAATGAACATTTTTAACCCTGTTGAGGATGTTGGTCTTGTTCGTATGTTGCTAAAAGCCGCCCACATTATTATCTATCAAAGACAATGTACAGAGAATAGTGTACGGACTGTGAATCCTGTTTTTGCGGTTGTCTTTGAGCTTTGGCTGTCCACCTTTATCTAAATCCTGCTCTTCCGCAGAACAATGCAGATAAGACATGTTAATGAGACTGGTATACGTACCAACACAATGTTGTTAAAAATTACTCACGACACAAAAGGATTTGATCCCTTATCTAGTTGTGTTTTTAATAGCTTAGTATCTGACATTAGTTCCAAATAACTGTAGAAGAAATAATTAGAAAAGCCTCTCCCAGAAGGGTTTCAAAGTGGATAAACTGACTGAAACTCTGAGGTATACAATCTACTTAAGAGCCACTCACAATCCAAGATTCTAACTCCATGATCCATCTTACTAGACCATTTAGAAGGTTAGAAGATTAAATGAAGTAGTTTCCGTAGGATCCCATGGAATCATCACAAAAACAGGACGCATTGTAGGTCATGGAAGATAAGACTAACCTGTATTTATCTGTCAGATCCTGTCATAGCATCAAACAAACCGCAGCAACTTAACCACGAAGTTCGGACGGCTGGTGGACCAGGCAGTAAAAGACGCTGCATACATCCAGGAGATTCAGCCAACTGAAAAGAGAGGGAATTCACAAGTAGATAATGCAAGAAGGAGAAAGAGATGCTACCTTTTCCTCAGAGGATACTGTAACTTCAGATTCTCTTACATTCTCTACTTTTTTGCTTGTTCCAACAGCAGATCCTGGAAGAGTAACCACCTTACTATTATCTTTTCCCAGTGACGGAGATGGATGCTTTTCATCTTTCTCAGACTTCTGCTTGACCAAATTTGAGTGTGTTGAGGTCTCAACGTGCTTACTCTTTTCAGAAATGACTACTTTGGATACAGAAGCCGCAGGCTCTACAGAACCGACAACAGGAGTGATTTGCAAGACTGTTTTACCATAGGTATCCTGACAAGCTACATTTTTGGCATTGTGAGCACTGTTTTCAGAAGAGGAATTGCGGGCAAGACTTTTCTGGCAATCCGTTCCTCTTTCAACAGCAATAACATTTGCATCTCTTGATGTCTCTTTAGCAGAGCCCTTCACCGGACCAGATGATAGAGAAGCAGATGGATCTTTTGTCCCACATTCTTCATTTCCTTGAGAACCAGCGGAACTCACATTGCCATCACTTTCCCTCTCATCTTGGCTTCCATGTTCATCATGTCCTGAGATTTTTTTTTGGTTAAATTCAAAGATCAAACAAAAAACTACTGAGCACAGAAAGCTACTGAAAAAAATGATAAGAGAAAACGATCAAGCACTTGTTACAAATCCTATGAAAGTCATGGACGGTGTGTTCTTCTTCTTCATCAGTCCAACAAAGCCATGACTCGAAGCATTGTTTCTCAATTTATAGAAAGATCTTAGCTCAAAACAGATAATCAACTAATTCCAAAGAACAAGTGAGATGAGAATAAACTTAGACGGAACAAAAGGCACGGATTATTACTAAGCAGGAATCAAAACAGATCTCTATACACCAATCATGAAAATGGTTAATTCGAGACGCGATAAACTTGCGGAGACTATACTAATGAAGACAAATCAATCGACCTAGCAACAACAAATAATCCGGAAGCCAAAATCGAGCGGAGCAGAATGAAATGTACCATGAAGATTAACGCCATTGAAACCCTTATTGTTTGTACTCGTTCCAATCGCTTCTTGTTGCTTCTTCTTCTTCAACGCCTTTCTCTTTTTCGCACCGGACGGCATGATCGATCGGGACGATGGATTTTCTCGCCCAAAGAATTTGAATGAAATTTTCCGTTCACTTCAAAGTTTCTCTTTCTCTCTCGCTGCAGTGTGAGGTAGGTGTGTGTGTGTGGACTGCGTTCTCCTTTTTGTCTCTATATGAAATATGTTGGGGAAACCAGAATCTCCCGTAAAGGAAAGAGATAAGGAGAGTCTTCGTTTTGTTGTTGATTATTCTTTTTTTAATTTATTTCTATTCAACCTTGCCCAAAATTAATTTATTTTGTTCAAACCGTAATAGCATTTCCATATTTATTTTCTCTTTATTTATTCATTTCCATACATCCAAATAAAACCTGATGGTGAAAATGCTGTACAAATAGAAGGAAAAATATGGTGAAATTTGTTTTTCCTTTAGAAAACTATCATTTGAAATGAAAGAGTGAATTTTTTATTTCATTAATTCATCCCTTGGAAAAACTAAATTTGTGAACGAATTTTTTTTTAAAAAAATTGATATATTTTTAAACGAAATTAATAAAACGAAATTATTTATCTATCATTTTCATCTTTGTTCCACTGAGTATTCTATTGACAACCATTTGTGAAAAATATTACTGCCAGTCCGGACAGTATTTACATGATCGTTGTCAACGTTTTTGACTATTTACTGCGAGTTATATTTATCACGGTAAGATCTACTACTATTACTTTAGCAAGTTGCTATTTTAGAACCTATGGTTTCATATCCGAATCAATGCACTAGGCGTAGGCCAATGATAAATCAAATAAATCATTGACATTTCTTTTCAAACCTATTTTGTAAATTTGAGATTAAAAGAATAAACTAACTTTGTAAACTAAAACAGAATATCCTTTTTCTGACCTTTTAAATATAGTTTGTGTGTTGACAAAAAAAAAATACAGTTAAGAATTAGAGAACGATCCAAACACTTTTTAAGTAAGAGGACTTTGTCAGTAGAGACTAAAGAGAAGACACAGACTTTGTGAAGAGCATGATCATGGATTACCACAAACTTAAGCTAAAGACTCAAAAACGTGAAACCCACCTGCCAAGAAACACAAAATCCATGGCTATAAAAGAAAATCCACCAAGGCACAAAGCAACACAGACCCACTTCTTGTATTTGTTCTCTCTCAGAACTTGCTTTTGCTTAAGAGTTAAGACAAGCAATAACACAAAGATGAGAACCACTGCATCACTTGTTACATTCAACCAGAAGATTATGCAGCGTTGTAAGAAACTCCTTATCAGAATCACCAGAAGCTGTCCTAGACGCCAATATCGGCGTTTGAAACTTCAGAAAGGTTCTTCCTCATCATCATCATCATCATCTGGGAAGCAAGTCACCAGAGTTTTGGCTTCATTCTTCCTCTCCTTCCAAAAGAAGAAGCAGAAGAAGGAGAAGATGAAGCGGCTTAACGAACTCAGGAGTTTCTCGGATTCTGTCAGTGAAAAGAAGGCTTCGAATCATGAATCAAGAAAGAAGGTATTCCCTTCCGGTCTCACGCCCTCTTGCCTTGGTCAAAGTAAGGCTCATTCAAAAGAAGTCTCACAAGATCATGATGCACGTAGAGACAGCACAAGCACATTCCTTCCATGACTCAAAAGTCAAAACTATACAAGATCATTTCTATTGCTTTCAACTTGATTCTGTGGATGTTATAGGATCTCTCAGTGTCAATAATTTTTTTTACACCATGACCTTAAACTGACTCCCTCAAGATGTATTATGAGTGCAAAATAAATTCTTTGTATAGCAGGATCTCAATAAGATTGATGTGTATGATTCAAATATCTATTGGAAGAACTTTGAATTAAGAATCAGAACATGATTATAGTTCAGGAATACAAATAAAAGAGAAGATAGACATCAAAATTTTTATACATCTATCCTACAAGCACGGACCAATGGCTTCATTCCTTACCCCAACCTTTGAGGCATACACATATCATATCAACTCACCGGTTCCAACCAGGTGAATATACTTGGATCAGCTCTTGGCAACATCTCTGCTGTTTGATATAACCTAACATCAACGGAAAAGAATGCAATATATGAAACTGTTCTCAACAAAGAAAATGATTACCGAGCAAGACCAAAACCAAAACAAATTTACACACTTTATGCAGCAGCTAAAAGGAACAGAGAAAAAGGATTTCCGCCAATAGAAGCAAAAACTTTGAGGCTTGAGAAACTCGTATTCAGGGCCTTAAATTCCTCAAAGAATAATGCTTCATATTAATCCTAATAGCGACCTTACTTTAACCACACCACACTACTTCTTCACAAACCTCAAATTACCACAGCTAATTGGGCTATGACACTAAGCTTCTATGATATGCTAAGCCATTACATTAGACATCAAAACTAAAATCGAAAACAAAGTTGTTTATCATCAAATGCTCAGATTCTGTGAAGAACTGAAATAAATGTGCCATTTTAAAACTTTCACAATGCATTTTTTATTCACGGCTTCCGGTTAATCAAAAATCCAAGCTTCAAACACTATTCATATCAGCAAATAAGCAATACTTTCCGAATTAACACCCACCGAAACAAAAAAGGGAAAAATCACCAAAAGCAAAACCAACTTCGTTCACATTCTAGAATCGATATGTATGATTTTGTAGAAATTACGAAGCTAAAACCCTAACAATCCACAAACCCACAGCCAACATTACATCAGAGAACTAGAAAAATGCGACGCAACACAACAAATTGAGATCAGGAACCACATTACCGCGAAAGAAAATCGGAACTAGGATAGCAAATCATACCATTTCCAACGAATCTATACGAGGCTGAGAGAAGTGAATCCATGGCCGTAACTGTGCAGAGATCCTGTATTGGCAACTAGAAGATGGTCTTAAACCCTAGATTTACTGAGTATTTAAGTAAAGTGAGGTTTAAAGAGAGAAAAAGAGAAAGAGCACAGATATCGATAGAAGAGTGTGAGAGAGAGAGAGAGACTCGTTGCCGTTACGCGAGTGAAGGATTCTTTGGTTTTGTCGCTGTTTACTCCGAATTAAAAAAAAAATAAAAATAAAAATACCCCGCGCATTTTCATTAGGCTGAGTATGGGCCGTTAATGGGCTAACACTAAGCTTTATGTTGGACAAATATATATCTCTCCATCTCCGTCTACAACAGAGGACGGACTCGACGGAGCGAAACGGAAAAGTAACTGATCGAGCCGAGCAAGAGAGAAAATGGTGGTTGAGGAGGATTCTTCAGTATCGACGATTATGGCGGAAGAGAATCTCGATCCTAACACCGCGAACCCTAGCCGTATAGAGAAGCAGCATGTTCCGGCGATTAAGGCTATCCGCGGCGGCGAAGAAGGTCCGTCGAAGGGGAAAACGATTCTGTGCGGTGGAAAGGACAATGTGTCGAAGAAATCAACCACCGTAATCCAAAATTCGCACTCGTTCCAGAATTCTTGGACCATCTGGTTCGATAATCCTTCCTCGAAATCGTATCAAGCTACATGGGGAAGCTCTTTGAGAACCTTGTACACATTCGCGACTATCGAGGAGTTCTGGAGGTGAGATTTATGTTGAATACTTCTCTTTCTTGTTATCTCGTTTGGTATTTTCTTTGCAAATCTGGACGGAATTTGGAAAAATCATTCTGAGGCAGAACCAGTAGTATAGGGATCCGGTGATTTCTGCTTACGATGTCTTTTGTTCTATTGGTTTACGGATGCATTTTTGCTCAATTTTCCCTTGCCTTGATCTTAAATTCACAGTAATAGAACAGTTTCTTCTTGGATTAGCTCAAGCTTTGTATTGGAGAATGCTTATATTGTATCTGTGCGTCATACATCAGAATCTGATCAGCTGCTCGTGATTGTTTCCATCTGAGAAGCTAGTTTGGTTTTTGTTTGCGTTTCTTTTCTTCTGCGTTTAGGTTTCCTCTATCTTAAGGTATCCTGTTTGATGTCATGGATGAGTTTTAAAGCGCGGGCTTGTTAACTACTTGATGCAGTCTTTACAATAACATGCATCCTCCAACCAAGTGGGTTCCAGGGGCTGATCTTTACTGCTTCAAACATAAAATTGAACCAAAATGGGAAGATCCTACTTGTGCTGATGGAGGAAAGTGGACTATGATGTTCCCTAAGGCTAAACTGGAATCTAATTGGCTTAACACGGTATTGTAACATTCGGGAGTTGATTGTAGTTTTCCTTAAGCCATATGTTGCTTGTTGGAGGCATCTTTTGATTTTTTTTTTTCTTTTGTCTGCTTGTTTTAGTTACTTGCGTTAGTTGGTGAGCAATTTGAGCAAGGAGATGAGATTTGTGGGGCAGTTTTGAATTTCAGAACAAGAGGGGACAAGATCTCTCTATGGACAAAGAACGCTGCAAATGAGAAGGCACAGGTAAAATTCATCGATGCTTTTATGTATATGATTTATGTAGTAATACAAAAGGCTTGTTTTTGAGGAAACACAACATGTAGATAGTGGATTTCCTGAGGTCCCTAATAGTGCTTAACCAAAAACTGATAGGGAATCTACACGATAAGAGAATTCTAATCCTTGTTTTGTTTCCTTCATATAAAACTCATAACACTGGCTTAATATTGGTGCAATTTAATCCGATGTTCTGTTTGCTGCAGCTAAGCATTGGGAAACAGTGGAAGGAACTTCTTGGTTACAATGAGTCAATCGGATTCATATATCATGTAAGTACTTCTTCAACATCTTTTTGTGTTCTCTTAAAACTACATTGGTTCGTGCTATTGTGACTTTGTCCAATTTCTTTTCAGGAGGATGCAAAGACTCTTGATCGTAATGCTAAACCTCGATACACTGTATGATTCACGTTTGACTTCTCAGCTTCCGGGAGAGAAAAAGAAGACTCAAAAGGGAAGTCATATGAGAGAATAGGACCTTTTAGTTGCTTCTGATTCTATCTTCTACTTGTAAAAAGGATGCACATTTTGGGTTTGAGGTGATCAGTATTCTCTCACTTTCAAACTAGCAGAATTGGTGAAATAGGTTGTAATCAAATGTACATGTTTTTCGTAATTTTCATAGTGGTATACAGAAAAAGAAAATTTGAAAAATTAAAATTTCTTATCGTTACAGTCAATTGTCATAGTTATATACTTATTTTGTTAAGTATCATTTGGAGCTCACTCTGTTATTGGTTATGTTTTTTCTTATAACCATAACAGAATAGCTGTTGAACAAAAAGAAAAAAAAAATCCATAAAAAATCACCCAGAATTTATTTCCCGCCAAACCCAAACCTTTAGTTTGTTTCGTGTAAAAACAGAAAAGTCATTAAACACGCATATATCTTGGGTCGTTGGATGGATTACAACGGAAATAATTTTCAAACATCAAAGTTTTAGGGTTTTGGATTTAAAGAATCAATCCTTCTTTGATTTTATTTGCAGCGAACAAAGAAGGAAGAGAGAATAAAAAAGAGGAATAAGAGAGAAGATCGTTGGCATTGACAAAAGATGTCGAAGAAACGCAACTTAATGTCAGACGCTCTGAAGGATCTGCTAGAAGCTCAGAGAACAGAGTCGAGATCCATGGAAGTTACCAAGGTAAGAAAATACAAGAAACTGAACAAGAACTTTCTCTGCTATTTCAAACTCACGATGTTCCTACTGTGATATTTACTCAATTGATTTGGCGATTAGGTTACACTTAGATTGGTCCTTACGATATGGTATCTAGAGAACTACTTGATGATAGAAGTCAAAGACGCCATGAAACAGAGTCGAGATAGACCTCGCGGCTATGTTCTTGCGAAGGGTGATGTTTTCATTTAAGCGTTTTGCTTTTAATTTTGATATTCAGGGTCGAAATCACGATTTGGGGCCGAACGAATCTGATGAGAGAACAGATCGGAGACACGAAAGAGAGCCAAAATCCTCGGCAAAGAAGAGGGTAACGAAACTTGACAAGAGCTCGCTACTCTGTTCTTTACTGCGGATTATATCATTATGATAAAACAGAGTCGATGCCGTTTTCTTAGGGGAATGAAGACTCTGGTTTAAGAATGAACGAAGCCGGTCAGATTCGTGACCAAAGAGAGTTAGACGCAGATACACTGAGACAACTGATACTGAGAGATGTTGAGGTGTCACGGAGGAGAAACCATGAAACAGAGTCGAGATTCTTGCCACAGAATAAGACGGTAAAAGAAACTAACTTTGTTAGAAACTGAGTATATTTTGTTTGATTTAACTTTTTCCTTTTTCAATTTTGATTCTCAGGCTACAAAGATTGATTGGGTTTGGGGAAGGAGTGAACCCAAAAGGACATTTGATGAGAGAACTCTGATACACGAATTTTCTCAGTCGAGTGAATCCAAAAGGATACTTGATGAGAGGTCTCTAAGTGAGTATATAGTTCGTCCCTTTGAAAAAGTTTGTCAGGATTATGAAAATACTGGTCTGTGTAGCCTTGGAAGACGTTGCCTTTTCAATCATCCTCGTTGTAAGGTGCAAACTTCTTGGATTATCTCAAAATCTAATCATATTTCAACTTCATTTCAGTAGTAACAAGAATCTGTAGTATATGGATTCTTCTTGTCTGGTTTTAGTCTTTACTTTATTTGAAAGATAGATAAGCTCTCGACCAGAGTTGTTTACTGAACAACTTTCTCTTTCTGTATGCAGTTTTTTCTGAGAGGAAATTGTGAGAAAGGCTCAGCTTGTAGATTTATTCACCCAAAGGGCAAGGATTTTTCTGTTGTACCTGAGCATCAGATGATAAGTTTTTCTTATCCATATTATAATGAGTGGCAGATAGCTCAAGAGATTGTGCAGAAACAGAAACAGAGAGATATTGAGATGCGAAGGAAACAGGCTGCAGAGAGTTTGGAGGGAGAAAGAGTAAACGTTGAAAAACTGAAACAAGATCTGATTCTCTTCTTCACTGGTATTGCAAGGAGAAAAGACGAATCGACACAGAGAGATAGTGAGAGACAAGAGAAAGAGGCTGAAGAGAGTGTGGAGGAACTAGTATTGAAGGTAAAGAAAGCTGAAACAAGATCTGATTTTCTTCTTTACTGTGATTTGCAAGGAGAAAAGGAACAGTGACTCTGTTAATTTTTAGGCAAAAGCTATTACGGATTCCCAAGTGCATGAAGGTTCCGAAGAAATATTAAGACAAATGACTGATGAAATAGTGGAGAGATTCAAGCGAGCAAAGAAGGTAAAGAAATTTGACTTTGTTCTTATCTTGTTTTCCTGTGTACAGTCACTTATGATCCCGAGTCCTTGACTTAACTCGCTTGCTTGACTGATGTTTATATTTTTTTTGATGTTCTGAGTAACTTATACGGATGTGTTTAATCCTCAGGAAAAAGCTATTCCAGATTCCCGAGGGCCTGAAAGATTCAGAGATATAACTCAAAAGACTCAAATACATGATGAAATAGTGGAGGGATACAGACGAGCGAGGAAGGTAAGGAAATTGAATAAGGCCTGACTTTGTCCCTTTTAAAAAAAAAAAACTGACTTCAATCACTCCTTGCTTTCTCTTCAAACAAAAATAATTGTAGGAGAATCGCAGCGTCAATGCTCAAGAGAATCAGAGACAGAGAAATATTGAGATGCAGAGGAAAGAGGATGAAGAGAGTGTGGAGGAGCAAATATTGAAGGTAAAGAAACAGACAAAAAGAAAGAGGATCTGATTATGTTCTTAAGAGGAGAAAGAGAAAAGAACCTTACTCTGTTTTGATTTACTTATTCTCAGGAGAAGCACGCTCATGATAACCCGAACCAGCGGGGAACAGAGACGTAGAGATTGTTGAGAAAGAAATTAGGGAAGGTAGTAGAGTTGATCAGGTGTTTGGATTGAATCATCAACATTTTCTCTCAGTCGTTAATTAGTTATCTTCAAAGAGAACCTCTCAGATTCCTTGGAACACAAGAAACCGATTTATGTTTTCGATTTTAGTCTTGTGATTGTTGTTTAGTTCAGTTGATTGAATTCACTCGTAAAGATTAAGGTCATGCAAAATTATAGCTATATATAGTTCGGGAAATTATTATAAGTGCAATCACATAAAAAAGATATTCTCATCATATCAAAATTTACACCTCAAAAACATACCGTATTATTACTACGCATAAATTCATTTGATGAAACATTAATACAAATGATGAAATAAACTGTAGAAAGATTAGAGCTAAGGGGTTAAAGTGATCGTCATTCTCTTACTTTGAAACTATAATGGTTTTAATCAAAATATCAGAGTCGAGAGTCTTGCCACATAAGAAGAGGGTAAAGAGACTACCTTGTTAACACAGAGTACATTTTGTTTTTCGTGTGGAAGTGAAAAAAGAAAGCATATACAGATGTATGTTTAGGACGTATTACAATTTACAAATACTGTTATGGACACTATCTTGTCGAACAACAAACTTTAGCGTTTTAAATATAAAGAATCAAAACCATTCTTTGATTAAATTTCCAGAGAACAGATAAAGAAGACGGGCGGAGAAAAGAGAAAACAATAACGGAATAATCGAACGAGGCTGAAGAGAAAAGTCAGAGAAGAGAATCGAAGAGGCTAAAGAAACTAATACGAGAACTTTACTCTGCAAGAACAGAGTCGAGATCCATGGAAGAAAGCAAGGTAAAACAAAGAAACTGAACGACAATTTACTCTGTTCTTTACAGTGATTACTCATTCGATTTGGCGTTTCGGTTTCACTCCTTACAATATAGTATCTATAGAAAGATTTGATTAGAGAAGTCAAAGACGCCATGAAACAGAGTCGAACTATGTTCTTGCGAAGGGTGATGTTTTGATTTAGGTGTTTCGTTATAATTTGATTCTCAGGGAAGAAAACCGGATTTGGGGCCGAGCGAAACTGAAGAGAGAACTAATCGGAGACACGAAAGAGATCCAAGATCCTGGGGAGAGAAGAGGGTAAAGAAACTGAACAAGAACTCGCTACTCTGTTCTTTACTGCGGATTATTATTATCATGATAAAAAAACAGAGTCAATACGGTTTTCTCAGGAGAACGAAGACTCCGGTTTAAGAATAAACGAAGCGGGTCAGGTTCGTGAATCAGACGCAGACATAGCAGGTAATCTGCAGCAGAAGAGACTGGGAGGTGGTGAGATGCAGAGGAGAAGCAATGAAACAGGGTCGAGTCAATATCCAGTTCGTCCCGGTGTAGCAGATTGTCGACATTATGCAAAAAATGGTCTCTGTAGCTATGGAAGCAAATGCCATTTCAATCATCCTCCTCATCTTTCACCGGTGAGAAAGAAAGAAATTTTTATGTATTTTTTTGGCTGAGATTTAAGTTAACAATTTTTTTTTTTTCTCATGATGGCTTGCTGCTTTGAAACATCTTAATAGGCCTTTCCAAAGAAGATGCAGGATTGTAAGGTACAGTTCTCAAATCTGATTGGTTTTAATAAGAAGAGAAAGAAGAAGAAAAAAAAAACGAGATTTTGTTGAATCATGTTGTCTAGTTTAGTCGTTACTTGATTTGTAAGCAACTACTTCCTTTTCTACATTGCAGTTTTTTCTGAAAGGATATTGTAAGTTCGGCTCAAGTTGTTCATATATACATTCAAAGGAAAAGGATGTTGCAGCAGAACCTATGCCTCAGGCTCAGGTCGAGGTTACTATATATTATTCTTATCAGCCAAATGTGAAAAGACTTAACTGAGTTTCTTCTCCATGTCACTTAATTCTCAGGCGAGAGCTATTCCAGATTCTCAAGAGCGTGATCCAAGAGAATTTTTCCAATATGTAACTGATGATACAGCGGTCGATTACAAGCGAGTGGGTATTGAACATGAAGGAGAGATTCTTCTTGGGTGGCAGAGGATGGAAGCTGAAGATATTGTGCAGGAACAGAGACAAGCTCAAGAGATTGTGCAGGAACAGAGACAAGCTCAATTTAATGTGCAGAGAGAGGTTGAAGAAAGTGTAGAGGAACGAATAATGAGGGTAAATAAACTGAAACAAGATTCTGATTCTGTTAGTTACTGCGGGTGAAACAGAGTACTCCAGAGGAGTTAGCGAGGACGAAAGAGAAGAGAACCTTACTCTGTTTTCGATTTACTTTATTCACAGGAGAATGTAGAGAAAGAGAGACAGATAGAAATTCAGAGAAAGAAGAAGGAGGAACGTTTGAAACTTGATCAGGTCTTGAATTGAATCATCTAACATTTTCTCTCAATCGTATTTTGTTTTAGATTTGGATATCTCATGTGGTTGTTTTTTTTTTTTTTTTTTTTGTGGGTATTCTTCAGATCGAAGAAACTGCTAAATCAAATATATGGAATAGAATGCAAATAATCGGTGTTAGAGACCCTGCAGGAACGGAGAGTAAAGGTAAAGAAACTGAAACAAGATCTGCTTCTCTTCATTACTGTGGGTTGCAAGGAGAAAAGAGAAGAGAAACTTCCTCTGTTTTGTTACGTTGATTTCTCATTTGATTTTACTTATTCTTAACATATTCAAGAGAAAAAGCCAGCGAGAGATATTGAAAGCGAGAGGAGGGAGTCTCGTTTGAAGCTTGAGCAGGTGCTAAATTGACTCAACAACATTTCTCTCAATTTTGGCTTTTGAGAAATATCAAAAAACAGGAAGAAAGATTCTCATGAGAGCTCTTTTATTTATTGGTTTTCTTCAGATGAAACCCACAGTTCAATTCAACGAAGGGGATCGAGTCAGAGATGTATTAACGGAACTCGGGTTTGAGAGAAAAGAGGGCGATGGGTTTTAAGAGGAAACAGGGTTACTTGACAACTCTCGGATTCCTTGGAACACAAGAAACCAATATGTGTTGGACAAGCTTTCGATAAATTCAATTTTTTGACTGTTGTTGTTTAGATTCACTTTGAAAGGTTACGTTTGTGCAAAATTTTAGCTAGATATAGTTAGGAGAAGTACTACAGTCAATCACAGTCACATTAGTATGAAACTAGTCGAGTAAAAATATATTCTCATCATAAAGAGATTTACACATCAATAATTTTTATATTCTTGAATGCTCAAACTTATTTTTGTTGTGTTTTTTACTAAGGAAAAAAAAAACATACGTATTATTTCTACGTTTCAGTTCATTTGATGACACATTTTGAATTGCAATATGTAGTTTTAGTTAAAGAATGATGAAAACTCAATGCAAAGGCCTGGCCTCTTTAATTAGTTATTTTGACTTTATACAAAAACTTTATCAAAAAATTTATGTCTCGTTTTGTCCCTTTTATTTCCCATTTTAATTACGACATCTTGCCTATTCAAAAATTCCGATATCAAATCATATGAGACATTAGTTGTATGATCTTTTACATTCAAAAACCTCTTTCTCTTCGACTGGCATCGGTTTAAAATGTTACTACTTTCTACTGAAATTTTGACGGTTCGACCACAAATTATCTTTCTGCAAGATTCAAGGATTTGCTGCAGTAATTACTTATTTATAAACAGAATACAACTAATTCATGGTCATCCCACGATTGAAATATTCATCCTGGATATTAGAGGACTAGGGTTCAAATCCTCTCACAACCATCTCAATTTCACTTATCCACATCACAAATTCACAACTCACAATTGTAGTTTTAGTTAAGAAGAATGACACAACTTTAAAGGTAACAAAATGAAGAATTAAGAGTGTCTTTTTTATCTGGTCAAAACGAAAAATTAGAAAGATTTTTACGCTCTATAAAAATCTTTTATTTTCGGTTTGACCATGCATTCAATTAACTGTCTAATATACTCGAAAATCTATTGTAGTTTAGTAATGTACAACAGAACGCACCGTTTTATCGTTATTTTATAAGTTATTTTATAAGTTATACTGTGTTATCTTAAAAGAAACAACATAAGTGGAGAAATTTTGTAGAGCATAAAATTACACAATAAATAATGAAAATTGAACCAAAATGACAAATTAACTTGAAGGGAGTACCGTGCTAGGAAAATTTTCTTGAAAACGATTCAACAATTTCTACTGATAGGGTAAGTTTGTTACGTGTTATGTAATTGATTGTCTATTTTAGGGTGCGTTATTTATGCATTGAGATCTTTCTCCAAAAGGCTTAACATTGTGAAGAAACCGAGATATGATATGAACCCTTTTTGCAATTCGTTTCTTTGATTCTATTATGACATATTTTTGGTGTAAAAGTGAAAACTGAAATTTCATCAAATATGCATATATATGCATCCTAGGACGTCTGATTCAAACACTGTTACTTTTAAACATGAAACTTTATAGTTTTGGTTTTGGATTAAGAAATTTATTAAAAAGTCAAAGTAGGGCCTAGAAGTTTCACTTTGTTGAGAATTTCTCATGTTAATCTAGGCCAGGGATGAATCTCATCGTCTATGATTTATTGATGGTGTTTCAGAATTCACAACCTGAAGAGTCTTATCATATTTTTAATGTTGCTTATGAATCTATGAAATCCAAGTTTGGATATTTTATGAATAATCATGTGATGTTTGGTATGATATTAAATTACCTTTAGGAGGATGACTGTAAATGAAAGCGGAATGGTGCAATCGAATGAGTATCCAGATCGTCCCGGAATAGAAAATTGTGAGTTTTATATGAAAACTGGTCGATGTGGCTTCGGAGAAAGTTGCTGCTACAATCATCCAAAGGTGAGAAACAACATGATCTAATACTAATTAGCTTATTCTAAGCTGCAATGTTTCCTTATGGCTTAATTCTTTGAAACATTTTTTAATAGGATATTCCAGAGAAGATCAGTTTTCCAAAGTGTAAGGTACGAGTGCATTATAGAGTGTTAAGCGTGATGGATCTAGCAAAAGTAACACAAGTTGTTCTAGTTTTTGTAACTTAATTTAAGAGGTAAACAATTTTGTTCTTCTATGTACAATCTCTTGCAGTTTTTTCGGAGGGGAGCTTGTAAGTTCGGCTCAAGTTGTGTGTATGATCATTCAAGGGAAAGGGAACCTATGCGTCAGGTAATTTCATCGCGTGGTTATTAGACTAATCCTTATCAGCGAATGTGAAAAGATTCACTGAGTCTCTTCTTTAGGGTCAGAGGAGATACGAAACAGAGTCAAGTTCAAGGCCAGAGAAGAAGGTAACTTTAACTAAAGGTCATCGTCTATTTACGGTCTAAGTTACTTATATGTGAAATCTCAGGCAAAAGCTAAGCCGGATCCCCGAGAGCGTGATCCAAGAAAAAAATTCAAAGAGAATCTACAGGAAGCACAGCAAAATACTCAGAAGCAGAGGAGGGAGGATCAAGACATTATGCAGGAAGAAAGAGTGAGGATAAAGAAACTGAAACATGACCTGATTCTGTTCTCTAGTAGTAATTGATAAAGATGAAACAGAGTTTACTCTGTTTTTTATTTATTTTTACTCTGTTCTTTTACTGTGAGTTCTCATTTGATTAGCTTGTTCTCAGCCTCTCAAGAGATGCAAGAACAGAGAGAGTGAGATTGAGAGGCAGAGGAGGGAGGCTCGTTTGAGTGAGATTCAGAGGCAGAGGAGGGAGGCTCGTTTGAAACTTGAGCAGGTGGTAAATTGACTCATCTATTATTACTCTCTCAATTAGCTTTTGAAATATGACATGACCTGAGAGAAATTTTTAAATGATTATTTTTTTTTCTTCAGATGAAACAAACCGTTTTCTTCAATCATTGGACAGACGGCGATAAATTTTTAAATCTGATATGTGGTCGGAAGCTTTCGTAATTTCAATGTCGTGGTTGTTGTTGTTCTTTTTTTTTTTTTGTGGTAAAATGTTGTTGTTGTCTTGACTAAATTTACTTTTTTGTTGTCAACGACTAAATTAACTTCTAAAGATTCAGTTTGGGATAAATTTGACTATTTACGCCTATAGGCAAGATATAAGTAAGCCGATAAATAACGTATAGTCGTTTGCAATCATTAAATTCTCAAATTTATAAAGTAACGGAAAATCCAAATTATACATCTTTTTTGAAATTTTATACTTTTTTTTGAAATTCTCAAATTTAGAAAGAAAGGGAAATTCCAAATTATATTTTATTATTTGGCACTTCGTTATTGGTTTTCCATTTTTTTTCGACTGGTACCCATTTATTGGTTAAAAAAAAAAATCCATAAAATAACCAAGAAACATTTTTCCCGCCAACTAAAAAAAAATCAAAAGATGAAAGTCAAAGTGGTGTAAATATATATATATATATATATATATATATATATATATATATTTCTTTCTTCTATTATGACGTATGAAAACTTAACATGTAATTAAATAATATGGCATATAACTATATAAAGTATCTTGGGACGTTGGATCGATTACAAATGCGGTTATGGAAGCATCGTACTTATGAACTAAATCATTCTCTGATTTGATTTCCAGAGAAAAAAAAAAAGGCACTACGAATAAAGAAACCAAAGACGGATTAAGAGAGAAGATTGAAGAAAGAAGCTGGAGAAGATAGTCGAAGAAAGAAGCTAAAGCAACTGAACACGAGAGAACTTACGCTACAAGAACAGAGTCGAGATCCATGGAAGAAAACAAGGTAAAAAAAAAAAAAAAAAAGAAAGAAACTGAACAAGAACCTTCTCTGCTGATCCAAAACTGGGCTAACAACTTACGATGTTCTTACTATGATTCCTCATTTGATTTGGCGTTTCGATTTCACTTTGATTGGTCTTTGCGTTATTTGATGAGAGAAGTCAAATACTCCATGGAAACAGAGTCGAGAAAGACCTTTATGTTAAGTTCTTGCGTAGAATGGTGTTTTGATTTAACGCTTCGTTTAATTTTGATTCTCAGGGACGAAGTCCGAATTCTCGGCGGCGTGAATCAGGGAGGAGTTCTGATGAGAGAACTGATCGGAGACACGGAACAGAGTCAAGATTCCGGGCAGAGAATAGGGTAAAGAAACTTAACAAGAACTTGCTCTGTTAATTTACATTTTAAGTTATTATGATGAAACAAGACTCGATACGAATTTCTCAGGATTATGGATACTCGAGATTTGGAATAAACGAAGCGGATCAGTTTCGTGATCACAATGAGAGACTGAGAGAAGCTGATATACAGAGGAGAAGCCATGGAACAGAGTCGAGATTCCATCAACATAATAGGGTAAAAGAAACTGAACAAGAACATACTCTGTTTTTTTTTTCTACTGTTGATTATTATGAGAAAACAAGAGTCGATACCGATTTCTCAGGAAAAAGAATACTCGGGCTCCAGATTAAACGAAACGGGTCAGACCCGTGATCACAAAGAGTCTGGTGCGCAACAGCAGAGACTAAGAAATGTTGAAATGCAGAGGAGAAGTCATGAAACAGAGTCGAGATTCCAGCAACAGAAGAGGGTAAAGAAAGTAACTTTCTTTACACACGGGTACGCTTCGTTTGAGTTAACGTCTTTCTTCGGATTTTAAATTCTCAGGCCAGAGCTTCTGATTTTGATGAGAGAACTCAGATGAGACATGAACAAGCGCAATCGAGTCGTCCAGGTGCAAAAGATTGTCTGAATTATCGAAATACCGGTTGGTGTAACTATGGTAAACGTTGCCATTTCAATCATCCTCCTCATTTTCCACCGGTTTGTAAGGTGCAGCTCTTGGATTTCTGTGATTATCTCAAATCTGATTTCATTTCATTGTTTGTTGCTAGAGAGTTAGAAAAAAAGATGAGATTTTTGTAACTTAAGCTTATTTTAGTTTTGTAACTCCCATTGCAGTTTTTTCTGAAAGGAACTTGTGAGTACGGCTCAAATTGTAGATTTAAACACACAGAGGACGAGGATTTTGCAGAGCCTGTCTTATTCAATGCTCAGGCTAGAATTCCGGATAGGAGAGCGAGTGAATCCACATGGAGATTTGATGAGGGAAGACATGAAACAGAGTCAAGATCCATGCCAGAGATCAAGAGGGTAACTAAACTGAATGTGATCTTCATATTTTCTTACAGTTTAAGTTGCTTTAGATGGATTTTTTCGTTTCGCAGGCAAGAACTATTCCGGATTCTCAAGAGCATGCTTCAAGAGAAAAAGACAAAGATTTAGTTGATGGAATCAAGCGAGCGAAAATGGTAAGGAAATTGGATAAGACCTGACTATGTTCTCATTTTTGCTTTACCGATTTCAATCGCTTAGACGAAGACGGATGAGAAGAAAGAATGTGTATATTAACAAAATGTAATTTTTCATTTTACGTTGATTTTCAGGAGAAAATGCCCATTAAAGAAGCTGAAAATAATCTGCAGCAACAGGAGTTGAGGGTAAAGAAACTGAAACTGAGATTATGATGGAAACAGAGTCCAAACCCCTGAAACTTACTCTGTTCTTAATGATTTCTCTCTCTTTTTCTTTAGAAGAAAAATCGTGATTTCTCTTTTGATATATTGTTTTGGTTTTATTTACTCTCAGGAGGAGATGCCAGAGAATCGCAATATAGATGCTCAACAGAATCTTGAGGAACAGAGACGAATAGATATTGAGAAACAGAGAGAAGAGGAACGTTTGAGACTTGAACAGGTGTTTGATTAAATCATCAAGATATTATCAATAGCTTTTTTTGATATATGAAATACATGAAGATTCTTATTTGACTTTTTTTTTGGTTTTTTTTTTTCAGATCCAAACCACTGTTCAATTTGACGAATTAGGTCGACCTAGAGAGTTGATGAAAGATTTGGGATTTAGAGATTGCGATGGGTTTTAAGAGGGAATCGGAGCTACAATAACTACAGATGACATATGTGTTACGTTACATCTAAGACTTCTTCCTTGGAAGACAAGAAACACATTTCTGTAGCCATTTTAGGTCAATTTTTTGGAAGTTTTCAATCTTGTGTTTGGTTGTTTTTAGTTGTCATATTCGCTCTTAAGAATTGAGTTAATGCTCAATTTGAGTCTATAGGTATACAACTATACATGGTTTTGAAATGTCATATAATTTGCTGCATTCACATCTTATTAGTTAGTTACTAATTTCTTAAAAACGAAAATATGAAGAAAAAAAAAAACGAATTTAAATTGAGTTCCGGTTCAAATATACCTGTGGACTGAAAACTAATCTACTAGTAGTACATTAAACCTGTTAAATAATCCGTAACTTTGAGAAGTGAAATTGTAATTTTTAATCAAAAGTTTATAGAAAAATATTTAATAATTTATTGTTTTAGAATGATTAACCTAAAATCATTTAAAATCTATGCATTGTATGAGAGATTAATGGATGAAAGAATTAAGTACCACATTAAAAAATAGTAAATAAGATTAGTTTATCTTATTGTTGTTTACTCAAGCGTTGCTGATATTGTGTTACTAATTTTTTTTTCTTTTCTTTAAAAAGATGCTACTACGAAAGCCCAATAAATCTGATCTCCACTACATTCTACAGGTAAATGTTCTTACTTCCATTGTTAGCCTGAAAAAATACCACTGATGCCTTAACTATGAAATTATATTTCATTTACATGTTATCTCCTAGATTTTATCTTCCACATTTAGAAATAATGTGAAAACTAACCATTTTGGACTAATACAACAGTAATAAACTCACTGATTTGATGATACCAGGTCCAATCTCAAAGGACCAGAAAAAACGCAATTCACAATGGGAACTTCTGACTAAGAGAAACCCAACCAAATACATTACATTTGGTAAATATCAACGAAGTTATGTCAAATGTTGAAAAAAAAAAACAATTTATTATTATGTTGTATACAATCGTTGCAGTATCTCCCGAGACAATTAATTGGTCAATTGGTGAAAAATCCGCCTCAATCACACACAAATTTTGGTCAAAATCCCCAAATAGAGAATTTTCCCGCTAGATTTTGTGAAAATTAGCAAAAGAAAACCCCTCCTCCATTGTCGATAGCTACAAAAGTCCAGGGTCCTGAAATGTTATCGCCGGGGAGAAATTAGGGTTTCATATCGTCGTTCCGACGAAAGGGGGAAATGGGTATCCAAGGGCTTTTGCCGTTGCTGAAATCGACAATGGCTCCGATCCATATCAAGGAGCTCGAGGGTTGTACCGTCGCTGTTGATACATATTCATGGCTACACAAAGGAGCTCTATCTTGCAGCCGAGAGCTCTGCAAGGGTTTACCCACCACGAGGTTCTCTCTCTCCCACCCTCTCAAGTTGATTGATGAATCCAGATTTAGATCGATTGGGTTTTGGTTTCCCCAAATTTAGAAACTGGGTTTCTTCGTCTCGAATTAGTTTAACTCACCCTGAAAAAAAATTCAAGCTTTTTCTCGCCAAGATTCAATAGGGTTTATATGTGATTTGATATTTCGTTTAGACATGAGGATTTTGACTTTAATTGAGGTGTTTTATGTCCAACTTGATGCATCTCATTCATGTTTGCTTTACCAAATTGTAATTGTGATTTCTCAAGTTACTATAAGGGATTGACAATTGGCTGTAGTATGAGATATGTTGTCTTGTTGCTACTGTTCTGGCTCTGGAGAAAGATGACGGGTTTTACTGTCTTTCAGGCATATTCAGTACTGTATGCATAGAGTGAATTTACTCCGCCATCATGGAGTGAAGCCTGTTCTGGTATTCGATGGAGGTCCCCTACCGATGAAACTAGAGCAAGAGAATAAGCGTGCTAGGTATGCAAACGTTAGCTAGCTACTTAGTTTAAGAACGATGTGTAGACCTGTGTTTGTTTATTAGTTATCATTGAACAAGTTGCCCTCTTCTTTTCTATAACGAATCAAGTTCAGGTCCAGAAAGGAAAATCTTGCACGTGCACTGGAGCATGAAGCAAATGGAAATTCCTCGGCTGCTTATGAGTGCTATCAAAAGGCTGTAGACATTTCACCTTCTATTGCACATGAGCTGATACAGGTAAACAGTAAGCTGGATGTTTTCTCCAGATTAACGAATTTATAGTTTTGTTTGATTTCTTTGCTGTGTCAATCTCTTTGAACTGGAGTTTTTCCACCATGGAAGGTTCTGAGGCAGGAGAATGTCGAGTTCGTTGTTGCTCCTTACGAAGCCGATGCACAGATGACATTCTTGGCTATTACTAAGCAAATTGATGCGGTTATCACTGAGGATTCTGATCTTATTCCTTTTGGCTGCCCAAGAGTAAGCTTTCTGTTACATACGCTTTGCATCAGACAATTGCAGTTCATCTGTATTTTTCTCTTCCTTTATTGGCTAACTAGTTTATATCGCAGATCATTTTTAAAATGGACAAATTTGGTCATGGTGTTGAGTTTCAAGCCTCCAAGCTACCCAAAAATAAAGAGCTCAACCTTTCTGGATTTTCAAGCCAGATGCTTCTGGAGATGTGCATATTGAGTGGCTGTGATTATTTGCAGTCACTTCCAGGAATGGGACTCAAAAGAGCTCACACACTCATTTCAAAGTTCAAGAGTTATGACAGGGTACGCATTCTTTTCTCACTTCATTTTATCTTACAACCAGGAATTTGGTAAATCAAGAGTATGATTAAATTCAAAATCTGGAAATTTTACGACAAATTCTTACAGAACTAGTTTCGGATTTTCCGGGATCAATCCTGTATACATAGTTCTGGAAACAAAATTGCTTGTATGATGTGCGGTTAATTTGCTTTTAGGTAATTAAGCACTTAAAGTACAGCACAGTTTCAGTTCCTCCTCTTTATGAAGAGTCATTCAAGAAAGCTATGTTGACTTTCAAGCATCAACGGGTCTATGACCCAAAAACTGAAGATAGTGTACACTTGTCTGACATTTCTGAAGACCTTGCCGATAATTCAGATTTTGTTGGCCCATATCCTTTGAGACAAGTCTTTTGATTTTAGGCCTCCATTTATCTGATTAAGGAACATATTTTAATTGATTCCTTGACGTTGTTCACATCGGTGCCACAACATATTGCTAAGGGTATAGCACTGGGCCAGCTTGATCCATTCACACAGTTGCCGTTCCAGGTACGATATGCTGACTTATCTATATTTCTAATCTCTCCCTCTCTTTCCCTCCCGGCGATGTTTTCTTGATTTGATGTCTTGTTTTCTTAAATGAATAGGCTGAGAGTGTTACTCCTAAATTGGATGTTGGTGATACTCTCCGTCCTAAAAGTTTCAAACCTGAAACTCTGAAGAAAAAGCTTGATTTACCAGTCCAGAAAAACCTACTCACCAAGTATTTCTGTATCCTTCAATGTTGCATCCCGTATCTTTCATTTCCTACCAGTTTATTACATTTGGAATTTGTTTTAGAAAAAAAATTCTTGATCAAGTACGTCATGTATATCTTCTAGAGTCTAACTAGCTGTTGACATTAGTGATGTTTGATCTGGACTTTTTGTTCTTCACTTAACGTCTGAAAGGCTTTGCATCTCTCGAGGCAAAAAGAAAATTCAAGGCTCCGAGGATATCACCAATGTCTATGACCCAAACAGAGGAGTCTCCAAGCACTCCTGAGGATAATACAACAGATTTGGATGCTCCTTCGAGTGACACAACAAATGAATCCCCGGTTTACAGTTTGGTAAGCAATTGGAAGAACCACATTTTAGTTCTCGGAAGTCGTAGCACAAGCTCTAATCTCTTCGTGTCTTTAGGGTGAAGATACTAGCAAAGCTACAGAGAAAAGAGAGTCACCCGAAGATGGTAAAATTGCTTTTATTTCCAAATTTGGAAGATTTAATACTCAACTTTCAGTTCTTACTCATCTTATACTTGTCGCAATCTTTTAGATGCAATGGAAAGGAAGCATAAGAATTTTGATCATAACTACGTTGAACCGAAAGTGGAGAGGCCAAAGACAGATAGTTTGAAGGTTGTAGTAAGAAGCAAGTATTTCAAGCAGAAGCAGGGTGACAAAAGTCTTAAACAATCGATCCCATGCCTCAATGATTGCTCTGTCATGAAAGAAATGGCTGAGAGAACAACAAATATCCACGAGATAAACCATCAGGTCGATAAAGAAGATCAGAACCCATCTGTTGAGATCCGTTCCCCCTTTAGTACTCCCGAGAATATTATACCTCTCTCTTCCATTGCTACTAATAGTTTTCGTGGAGCTGCAACAGGGAAAAGGAAGCTTGACTCAGATGAAAACCTTCAGAAGGTTAGATAGTCATAGTATTGTTCAATTAGGCCATGTCCACTAATTGTCGCTTATGCTATCATCATTATTCTAGCCATTTATTAACTTTTCTAACTACTTCACTTATGCTATCATCATTATTCTAGCCATTTATTAACTTTTCTAACTATTTCAGGAAAATTTGAACCCCAAGCACATGCGCATGGATGAAACTGATCCTGGTAATTATATGAATTCTTGCCCCCTAAATACCTGAACGTGTATAATTGTTATATAGGCAATGTTACCTCGACTAAAACGTTTTTTGTTGTTGTTGTGCTGTACTAGCCTGTGAAGCTGTAAATGCAGAAACATCATTTGAAACCGACGATGTTGAGAAGTTTGGATCCAACATTTCACATATAGGTCATTACTCAGAAATAGCAGAGAAATCAGTGGAAAGATTTGTCTCAGCTATATCATCTTTCAGATATTCTGGGTCTGGCTCTCGTGCAAGCGGCCTGCGTGCACCTCTCAAAGATATCCGCAACACTTGTCCGTCCAAAGGGTGAACATTTTGACCTCTCAAAGCTTACTATCTTCAATAGTTCCGGGTGATTGATGCAATAATCTCAGAGATTTATTTGTTTTCTTTTCTGTTTTTTTTTTGGTCAAACAAAAGGGTATCTCCTAAAGCAGACTTGAGCAAGTTTAGTTATGTATCAAGCAGCGCGACAAAGTCAAGGCGATTGTGAGCTCAGTGTTGTACGTTAGCCACCTCTTTAGGGCAAAATGTGAGAGATTTTATCAAGAAGCAAAGGCTTTCGCTGCGGAAACAACATTTTGGTCGCATTATATTGTTGTTGTTTTAAGTGTTGTATTGTATCTCATAGCTTTTCACTGTGCAGAACATTCTTGTTCATAGGTTCTTTTACACAACAATTTTGATTCATAAGTTGGGGAAAACAACTTTCAACTTGCCATCACTTGGAAATTAGCTCTTTTATTGATATTTCTTGAGAAACCACAGAAAATCGTTTTCACAACTGAAAGTTGCAGAGATCCAAAAGCAATAGTGTGCAATAAATGTAAAATTGGGGCAAACCAGAAACCCTTCAAGCGATTTATTGAGAAAAAGACAGGCTAAGTTGCTGTATCAAATGATTTGGGATTTTATTTGTTTGCACACGTAATCAATTTGGTGAGAATTGTGGCTAGAAAGGTATGCACGTGAATGCAATGAAACATATCATTTGTATTAGGCCAATCAGATTCTGACAATTTCGATCATCCCACTCGCAGTTTCTGCTCTTCACACAGGTGGTCCAGTTGTACTTCCACGTCATTACACTTATTTTTGCTCTCTTCTTTTTTTTTGTTTTTTTTTCGTTTTATTAGTAAAAATCATTTTTAGTAATTCATATCTAAATCGGTAGAGATAGATAGGGATGTTGCAATCGGCCAACATTTGATCTGCTTACGGTTAAATCGTCAAATGCAAAGTAACAAACTTAATCTTGTTACTCTTTTCTTTATCATTCTGAACATTTATGGTTTCCACAATTTGAAAAATTATTCCATGATAACCATAAATGTTCAGAAACATCATCTATCTACTAAACACTTAGTTAAAATGTTTCCATAATATATCATTATCACTATATCAGTATCATCTAATATACTAGTTGTTCATGAGATAAACGTCATAATAAAACGAATCGAACATCTGATGGTAATAAATAAACAATATATATCAAAGTCAAAGTGTAACTAGTTGATATGATGAATATATAAAAAAAATAGGTCATTCAAATTTTCTTGATTATTACAGTATAAAATATCTAGGATTTATTTTTCAGATAGTATTACAAAAATCCACATATTATTCTCGTATTATGAAAGAGTTTTTTTGACACATGAGAGTCATAGAATCGTTGTTATTTTTGTAAAAATAAACGATTTTCTTACCACCATTAATATAAGTCACGCTATAATTGCATTGGTCTTTTTTTTTTTTTTAAATGATAGTCAGAGAGAATTTTATATAAGTATAGTGTAACTTATTATTTTCTTGTCGGTTTTATTAAAAACACATGAGTTGTATTTAGAAAAGGCATATGATTATAAGTTAAAGAAGCTGCCTAATCTAAGATCGTGCATGCTAGATTTGAATTTTATACATTCTCTGTCAAAACATGAATATAATATAGCATTTCAAAATGTGAAAAACAAGCTTAAAAGTAAAATATTATTATATACATTAAATAATTCAGTCAGTAACAAAGTTACTGGATAAGAACATGGCTAGATGCATGTACCGTCGGCTTTATAATCATGTCAAAGTATATCCACGAGACGGTCAAGTTTCAAAGGGATGGCTACTAAAGAAAATTAGTTATCCCAAGATCTTAATTATCAGTCACCATTATGCCTTTTATAAGGTTTGAATCATTTATTTCCATTTTTAATCAGATGTATTAATCAAGTTGTTTTCTTCTCAACTATCAATTTTTATTTATTTTAGTACTGCATTTCAGTACCAACTTTATTAAATATATAGGTTGTTTAATGAATATATTAAAAGAGTTAGTCCGATAACTACATAACGACCTAAATAATTTCTCCAAAACGAGATAAACTTTCTTGAACAATGACCATGTCATTTTGCTCTCAAACACATGTTTTTAGTATTCTAATTTATACTCACAATTTTTGTAAAAATGTTTTGGTATTTGATACTTTGCACTATGGAGTAAGGATATTATATCAAAGGACGAAAAAAATTGTGTAATGAGCTGAGTTAAATAAAATGGAATAATGCTTTTTCTCGAGTTGATGTCACCGGCAAGAAATGTCTCTCTCAATCAATGAAAACAGAACAGCTGTCTAAGTTCGTCTTTTGTCCTCATCTTCATTGCAGAAAAATACTTTTTTTTTCTGCAGAGATCATAATACATTTTTTTTTCATACCTTCATGATAATACATAATGTATTATATATTCATAAATGTCATGTATTATACAACAAAAAACCTATTTCCATTCGCGTAAAAGTAATACTAGTTGTCTAGTTGATGAACACCGAAATTCAATTTTTGCCGAGAACAATCAATTTGGTATTATTATTTTTTTCTTCTGTTTCCTATTACAATTGAGAAAAATCGAAATTAAGAATATAGATTAACAAGGAATTAAATGTTCTTTTTTTTTTTGACATTTTCCTTTCGATCTTCAATTAAGGGATTAAACTACAAAAACATTTCTTCCACTAAAAACCACAAAAAAATGGAAGACTGAAAAAAAAGATTGATAAAAATCCGAAGCTGGTCCAATTTAGGCCTCCAAAAAACCGGTTAACCTGAGAACCGAATTACGAACCCGGCTCAGATCCCGACCTTTGAGAGTCCTTCCGTTACCTGTACAAACGGAAAACGCCATTTGACCTCCTTCCATCCTCCGTCCAACGATCAGATGCGGCGGAATCATTTTCCTTCCTCCTTCGTCGGAATATTCCTCCTCCTCCTCCTCCGAGTACCTCCGCATCATATTACCCGGTATATTCACCGGAAGCGAGCTTGAGAAAGCCGCCGGTGAAGGCAACGTCGTCGTTTTGCTCCGCCTCGATTTGTTTCTCGCTCTTTCTGAGTTTTCACGGAAATCGACCGGACGGTTCTCTTTCTCGATCACTTCTTCCCGCCGGCGAATTGGAAAGAAACTGTCGGAGAAAATTATCTCAGATTCGTCGAATTCTTCCGACATTTCAAGAAACCAGAGGTTTTTTTGAGGTTGTGTAAAAAGAGATTAGAAAGGAAATGTAATAAAATTTAGAAAGGAATTATTGAAATTTAAGGGTTTTTAGGTTTAATCGAAATAAGATTAGATTAGAGAACAGTAGAAGAAGAGAGGAGACATGAAGGGTTTAAATAGAGGAAGAAGAAGAAGAGAGGAAACGTAGAGAGTACTCAAGTTTCTTGTGTCTTATGTGATGATGTCATCATAATGGCATTGAGTGCGGACCCCGCTTTACTTTCTATATCTATACATCGTATGTATATGTTTTTGACACTTTGATTGAAATTTAATTATTTTTGTTTTTAATTTTCATTTTTATAAGACTTCAAAATAGAATGTTATCTTATAATGTATAAGTGCAGATCGAGGACTCTTATTGGAATGAATTCTTCTTCTTCTTTTGTTGATTTTCTTGACGATTACATTGGACAAATCTTATCCGTATAATGTTGATTTGAGAGCGTCGAAAAAAAAAAAAAAAAAACTGTTGATTTGAGAGTCTTATAGTCATTGCCTTTGCCTCATTGGATACTCGGTTTGTTGTTCAAATCATTTAATATGTTTTATTTGATTCTCATTAGACATCTGGCTTTTTTTTTTAAGAAAAAAAGATATATATGTTATTGGTTGATACATTATACTTTCATTAGGTTCTTTGGTTCAAGAGAGTTGAATGATATAGTAATTGGTTTGGAATTTGATATAAGTTTATAGATTTTTAGAAATAAGTTTTCACATAATATTTGGAATTTTTGTAGGTCTGTTTTCCAAAAATTCGAGTCAAAATGAAACATTTCTTTGATGTTTCCAACATTTCATATTAAATTACTAGATAAATCATTTTCCTCAAGATTTCTTGTTGAATGAATCACGACATCGACGACAAAAGAAGAAAAAATGCAAGTTCAGATAATGCTATGTTAATACTTTATTTTTATTATCGTCATGTTAATACTACTTGAATATTAAATTAATACCCTATCTTACAAGACTGGTTCAATTTCAAATGAACTTCTGGGTTAAAATATATAGAAAAGGTTTTAACAAAAAAATATACAGAAAAGGTAGATATATATATATATATAAGTCAATAATAAATATAATAAAAATAAAAAAACAATTCAGCGATAGAAAAGTATTTAATATAGATGGAAACTTGGAATTATACTTTTTAAGTGTTTTACTGAAAATGGGAGCTTAGGTGTCTGCGTGTCCTGACGACATATCAGTCTCCGTTTCTTGTGGCCCACGTATTGTTTCACAGAATTTCTTTTTCAATTTAGTAATATTTTACCCAATAATAACTTAATTTATTAGAAAACTTTAATACATTTCTTAAACCGTGACATCTAATTTACATTAATCGATCTAATATAAAATATATATGAGAGAGAGAAACCATAACAAGACTGTATAAACCAAACAGATAATAGGGAGATAAAAAGAAAAAAAAATAAAAAGAAAGAGAACACATCGAACATGTGTAGATGAGGGATTATCGAATTATATCTCAATAATATAATTTTGCATAGCACTTGAAACACATGGCTATCTTTTATGTTTTGGTTTTGTTTATGGTTAGTAGTTACAATTTTTTTTTATAAAAAAAAAATCATTTTTTGTGTTGCTTATTGATTTGCTGTTACAACTTCATTTATATATTTTTTTAAGAACACATAATTTTATTATTGAATTATATACTGAAACATAGTCACCACTCGGACCCACCAAATCTCATAAAAAAATATTCAAGACCAAAAAACGATATGAAATTAGGCCCCATACACAGTGGTAATCAGCCTTTCCTGTATTAGCATCTCTTTGAGCCACGAAGGAACTCCAAGTCTCCAACAGCTACATAAGACTGAGTTCTATCCTCAACTACAATAATTTTTGCAATCATTAACACCGGTTTATTGGCTTTCGGGTTTTCAAAAGTCCATTTCCACTCCCCGATTCCGTAAAGGGCACAGATAAGTTTGAAGATTAACTTCGGAAAGACGACCAAGCTTGCAGTCGATTCACAGCTCCAACCAGATCAGAAGCCTATGTGGCAAATATAATGTTATCGATGTGGTGATTGCACATACTTTCCACTGCCCAAAATGACCTCGTGCTTTCGTCTCAGTAAAGCTTTCAGTGGCGCTAAAGGCTCTTCGACTATGGGCATGTACCACTCCATTCTGATCCCTTATGATCCATGCTGCACCACCAATATGTTTTCTTTTCAACCAGGCCATGCTAATGTTACATTTTAAGGTGCCTGATTCAGGAGGCTGCCAGTAAGATAAGTGTTTTGGTACAGATTTTTCGTCCCCATTGTCCAGATTATGATTTTGCTGCAGCAAGAAACAGTGGTTTGTATCTTTCCAAATCTTCTCTGCAGTTTGCAAAACAATAAAACTCTTCCCTTTGAATAGAAACAGCTTCCAATTCTTCTGAGTTGCAAAGGATCCATGGGAAACTTCTACTAATCTCCTTTGGGATCTTATCATCCTGTACACTTCTCATTAAGTAGGACATGTTCACAAAGACAGAATTTTTATCAAAATCTTCGGGTGGAAAGGGAAAGTTGCTTTGTGCCTAGACTTGACGTGCAATGGTACAATCAAACAAGTCATGGTTAATCGATTCACCATCTCCTCTACATATCTGACATATGCCATCAACCTTCATTCTCCTTGCTTGGAGACCATCAGATATTGAGAGTGCATCATTTAGTGTTCTCCACATGAAGATTTTAATTTTTGGGGTCGTACTAAGAGACCATATTTTGTTCCTGAGAGGATTCAGCGATGGTTGCATCATTGCGTTGGTCCTTACATCAAACTGTTTAAAACTCTTTTTCAGCCAATATCCTGATTTTACCGAGTAATCCGCACACTTGTTGTAGGCCCACTCATATCCATCTGACAAACCATAAGTTGGTCTGTTCTTCAAGATTATCTCAATAGTTTGCAATGTTACTAATGCAACAATTAGAAATGTAAATATATGTATTGTTTATAGAAAATTGAAATGCTCTATCACGTAAGAACATGTGCATCGCTTGGACAATAATATAATATTATCAAAGATTCAGTGTTTAATAGAGAGATATACAATCATTTAGTATTAGCTAACATGTTATATATCCACATAAGAATTAAGAGGCTTTGGTCCTTGCATAACCAAGGGAAAAATGGAATACTTGGAGATGATATGGATTTAGGCCTTAAAACTATGCAGGTAAAGTAGTTTGCAATGAATATTTTATTTTTTGTAAAAAATGTAATGTTGATTTTAACAGTAAAAAATATAATGTTAATTTCTGCTGATTTTTATCTGTAGTTTTTTTCTTGGTTTGTTTCATCTAAATTAATTAATCTTGCACTGGTAGTGGCCACAAAAACCATGATACTTTACCGGATAAGAAAATGAGCTATCTTGAGCAATTCTCGGTTTACAAATCACTACGTGGATATATAGAGTAATTAAAAATTTAAAAGAATAAGCATAGATACATCTAAGTGAAAAAGAAAAGGTAGATGCTGAAAGTAAGGAAGCCATTGGAAGTAAAACATCTAATAACGTCTTAACTGACAAAAAGCAAAAGAAAGTGGATATACTTTTGGAAGTATCCTTAAGTCAAAGCAGAGATATAGATTGATAAGAAAGACAAATTGTTAAGGAATGGAAAGCTAAAGCTTACGACTTCTTTTCCAATAAAACAAGAAACACACAACCATAATCAGTTGCGTACTCATATCAGTTGGTCAAATTATTTACTTAAAGCCTATATAGATCTAAGGGAAAGTAGAATGAATCGGTTCAACTTGAATTATTTTGTACAAAAATAATAAGGAAATTTAAATTTTTTAATTGATTACATTTCATTTTATTCAAGCACTACATATCAATGATAGTCCCCATAATGTTGACAAGAAAAACAAATGTTCGTCTCCATAATACCGAGATAGTATTACAATTAGAAAAATAGAAAAGTAGATGAATTTTTCTATATAAATAAAGAGTATATATATACAATTTTTTTTTAATTTACGGAAATGGAACCGTTTCTTTAATTACAAGAGTTTGGCGAGAGAAGGGGCCTTAGTTGATGTCAACCAAAAAAAGGTACCTTAACTTTCTTCTATTGCGAATGAGCAAAGTGTCACAAGTCCATCCAGATATAAATACACCTAAGTGAAAGCAATTGAAGGACACGAAAGATACATGATAAATTTTATCGGGGATCACATTAACGTTTCAGGTTAGAAAAGTGAGATAAAATATTTATGCTTTTTACTTTAAAAAACAAATATATAAAAAGGGCAATGTTTGTCTACTTGATTGGAGCTCTTCATATGTATGTAATGATGTAGTATGTACATATCCACACACATTTTTGCAAACTTTTTTAAATTTCATCAGTTCAAACGTTTACATTCATTAGAACTTTATAAATGATAAGTTTTGTAAGGTATGCAATGATTATAAATTGTGTTAAGATTAAACGTGAGCATACTATCTAGCAAGCTCCCTTTAGAGCAAGTATAAAACAGTCTATATATCACTAATCAAAAAGTCTGTTACCAATATATTAATTAAAACTACATAAATATGTTGCTTATATATCCTTTTAAAAAATGGTGGTTATATATTATCATATATTCACATGTACATGGCTAATCCATCATCAATTTCAGTGGTTTAGCAGATAAAATTCGCTATTTCGCAACCAGAATTACCTACAAAAATTTAAGAAAAAGAAAGGTAAAACTAATTCGTTTTAATGAAGTACGAGAAGAATTCAATCTCTTGTATTTTTTTTCTTTCTTTTCTTTGTGCTAACAATTTAATCCGTGAGTAGTCACATGTAAATATTATGGTTACAACTGCGAGTGAAATAACCCGTAACTACCACAGTCACCCATTCAAACTCTACTCTAATATTCGACGAGTTCTTCGAACTTTCAATACTATTACTTTTTACAAATTATTATATAAAGGGAAAAAGACAAAAAGAAATCCGGAGGAAGTGACAAAAGAGTTTTGGACGTTGCGCATTGGAAATGTGTTGTGTGAAAAACGCCATGGGTCCCACTTTCCATAT